GTTAGCCCTTCACAATAAGAGTTCAAGTTATGACAAACCAAAAAGTAAACAATAAAAAAACTGGAGGAAAAGTGAAGACCAAATCAAACGTAGTTATAAATAATCAATCAATCATTTCACTTAGCAGACGCTTTTATTAGTGACGTCAGAGGGTAAGAACAGCACGAGCTGGACATCCAGGTGTGCCTCGTGTAGCTGCAAGAAATGTGATTAGCCCGCTGCGTTCAAGGGCGTGGCTTAATTATAAGTCAAGTTCACCATCATACCGTGTGTGTGTGTGTGTGTGTGTGTGTGTGTGTGTGTGTGTGTGTGTGTGGTGTGTGTGTGTGTGTGTGTGTTGTGTCTGTCTGTCTGTCTGTGTGTCTGTCTGTCTGTCTGTCTGTCTGTGTGTCTGTCTGTCTGTCTGTCTGCCTGTCTGCCTGTCTGTCTGTCTGCCTGTCTGTCTGATCACTCCAGGCTGCCGCACATTCACTTCTGATCAGGAAGAAAATTTTCAAAGATGAAGAACAAAGTCAGCAGCACTCATGGTAACACACACACACACACACACACACACACACACACACACACACACAGCTGCTCTCTGATTGGCTCATAATTTACTCTTATGGTTTTTCCAGAATCTCAAAGGTCCCATTCAAGGACCAGAGGAAGGTTCCATAAGTCCTTGAAAATGTTTCAAAAGTGTCTGAAACACTTTTAGACCAATCAGAGAGCAGCTCTAAGAAACAAGTTACCATAGCAACAGGAATGATGTAACTACTGTGTGTGTGTGTCTGTGTGTGTGTGTGTCTGTGTGTGTGTGTCTGTGTGTGTGTGTGTCTGTGTGTGTGTGTGTGTGTGTCTGTGTGTGTGTGTGTGTCTGTCTGTGTGTGTCTGTCTGTCTGTGTGTGTGTGTGTGTGTCTGTGTGTGTGTGTGTGTGTGTGTGTGTGTCTGTGTGTGTGTGTGTCTGTGTGTGTCTGTGTGTGTGTGTGTGTGTGTGTGTGTGTGTGTGTGTGTGTGTGTGTGTGTGTGTGTGTGTGTGTGTGTGTGTGTGTGTGTGTGTGTGTGTGTGTGTGTGTGTGTGTCTTCAGTCAGTGTAAAGAGGCGGTCCTGGTCCTGGCAGCAGTACCTTAATGAACAGAAAGCTGAAGATGCTCCTCTGTTGCTGTTTACACAGGTAACACACACACACACACACACACACACACACACACACACACAACACACACACTTCTCTGACTTGTCTGTCTGTCTCTGGCCTGTCTGTCTCTGACCTGTCTGTCTGTCTCTGACCTGCCTGTCTCTGACCTGTCTGTCTGTCTCTGACCTGTGTGCCTCTCTCTGACCTGTCTGTCTGTCTCTGACCTGTCTTTCTCTGACCTGTCTCTCTCATACTTGTCTGTCTGTTTCTGACCTGTCTGTCTCTCTCTGACCTGTCTGTCTGTCTCTGACCTGTCTGTCTGTCTCTGACCCGTCTGTCTCATACCTGTCTGTCTGTTTCTGACCTGTCTCTCTCCCTCTGACTTGTCTGTCTGTCTCTGAACTGTCTGTCTGTCTCTGACCTTTCTTTCTGTCTCTGACCTGTCTGTCTCTGACCTGTCTGTCTGTCTCTGACCTGTTTGTCTCCCTCTGACCTGTCTCTCTCTGACCTGTCTGTCTCATGTCTGTCTGTCTGTTTCTGACCTGTCTGTCTCTCTCTGACCTGTCTGTCTGTCTGTCTCGGACCTGTCTGTCTGTCTCTGACCCGTCTGTCTCATACCTGTCTGTCTGTTTCTGACCTGTCTCTCTCCCTCTGACCTGTCTGTCTGTCTCTGAACTGTCTGTCTGTTTCTGACCTGTCTCTCTCCCTCTGACTTGTCTGTCTGTCTCTGAACTGTCTGTCTGTCTCTGACCTTTCTTTCTGTCTCTGACCTGTCTGTCTCTGACCTGTCTGTCTGTCTCTGACCTGTTTGTCTCCCTCTGACCTGTCTCTCTCTGACCTGTCTGTCTCATGTCTGTCTGTCTGTTTCTGACCTGTCTGTCTCTCTCTGACCTGTCTGTCTGTCTGTCTCGGACCTGTCTGTCTCCCTCCCTCTGACCTGTCTCTCTCTGACCTGTCTGTCTCATACCTGTCTTTCTGTTTCTGACCTGTCTCTCTCCCTCTGACCTGTCTGTCTGTTTCTGACCTGTCTCTCTCCCTCTGACCTGTCTGTCTGTCTCTGACCTGTCTTCCTGTCTCTGACCTGCCTGTCTCTGACCTGTCTGTCTCTGACCTGTCTGTCTGTCTCTGACCTGCCTGTCTCTTACCTGTCTGTCTGTCTCTGACCTGTCTGTCTCCCTCTGACCTGTCTGTCTCCCTCTGACCTGTCTGTCTGTCTCTGACCTGTTTGTCTCCCTCTGACCTGTTTGTCTCCCTCTGACCTGTCTGTCTGTCTCTGACCTGTTTGTCTCCCTCTGACCTGTCTGTCTGTCTCTGACCTGTGTGTCTCTCTCTGACCTGTCTGTCTCTGACCTGTCTGTCTCCCTCTGACCTGTCTGTCTGTCTCTGACCTGTCTGTCTGTCTTTGACCTGTCTGTCTGTCTCTGACCTGTCTGTCTCTGACCTGTGTGCCTCTCTCTGACCTGTCTGTCTGTCTCTGACCTGTCTTTCTCTGACCTGTCTCTCTCATACTTGTCTGTCTGTTTCTGACCTGTCTGTCTCTCTCTGACCTGTCTGTCTGTCTGTCTCTGACCTGTCTGTCTGTCTCTGACCCGTCTGTCTCATACCTGTCTGTCTGTTTCTGACCTGTCTCTCTCCCTCTGACCTGTCTGTCTGTCTCTGAACTGTCTGTCTGTCTCTGACCTTTCTTTCTGTCTCTGACCTGTCTGTCTCTGACCTGTCTGTCTGTCTCTGACCTGTTTGTCTCCCTCTGACCTGTCTCTCTCTGACCTGTCTGTCTCATGTCTGTCTGTCTGTTTCTGACCTGTCTGTCTCTCTCTGACCTGTCTGTCTGTCTGTCTCGGACCTGTCTGTCTCCCTCCCTCTGACCTGTCTTTCTCTGACCTGTCTGTCTGTCTCTGACCTGTGTGTCTGTCTCATACCTGTCTGTCTGTTTCTGACCTGTCTGTCTCTCTCTGACCTGTCTGTCTGTCTCTGACCTGTCTGTCTGTCTCTGACCTGTCTGTCTCTGACCTGTGTGCCTCTCTCTGACCTGTCTGTCTGTCTCTGACCTGTCTTTCTCTGACCTGTCTCTCTCATACTTGTCTGTCTGTTTCTGACCTGTCTGTCTCTCTCTGACCTGTCTGTCTGTCTCTGACCTGTCTGTCTGTCTCTGACCCGTCTGTCTCATACCTGTCTGTCTGTTTCTGACCTGTCTCTCTCCCTCTGACCTGTCTGTCTGTCTCTGAACTGTCTGTCTGTCTCTGACCTTTCTTTCTGTCTCTGACCTGTCTGTCTGTCTCTGAACTGTTTGTCTCCCTCTGACCTGTCTCTCTCTGACCTGTCTGTCTCATGTCTGTCTGTCTGTTTCTGACCTGTCTGTCTCTCTCTGACCTGTCTGTCTGTCTGTCTCGGACCTGTCTGTCTCCCTCCCTCTGACCTGTCTTTCTCTGACCTGTCTGTCTGTCTCTGACCTGCCTGTCTCTGACCTGTCTGTCTGTCTCTGACCTGTCTTTCTCTGACCTGTCTCTCTCATACTTGTCTGTCTGTTTCTGACCTGTCTGTCTCTCTCTGACCTGTCTGTCTGTCTCTGACCTGTCTGTCTGTCTCTGACCCGTCTGTCTCATACCTGTCTGTCTGTCTCTGACCCGTCTGTCTCATACCTGTCTGTCTGTTTCTGACCTGTCTCTCTCCCTCTGACCTGTCTGTCTGTCTCTGAACTGTCTGTCTGTCTCTGACCTTTCTTTCTGTCTCTGACCTGTCTGTCTCTGACCTGTTTGTCTCCCTCTGACCTGTCTCTCTCTGACTTGTCTGTCTCATGTCTGTCTGTCTGTTTCTGACCTGTCTGTCTCTCTCTGACCTGTCTGTCTGTCTGTCTCGGACCTGTCTGTCTCCCTCCCTCTGACCTGTCTCTCTCTGACCTGTCTGTCTCATACCTGTCTTTCTGTTTCTGACCTGTCTCTCTCCCTCTGACCTGTCTGTCTGTTTCTGACCTGTCTCTCTCCCTCTGACCTGTCTGTCTCTGACCTGTCTCTCTCCCTCTGACCTGTCTGTCTGTTTCTGACCTGTCTCTCTCCCTCTGACCTATCTGTCTGTCTCTGACCTGTCTTCCTGTCTCTGACCTGCCTGTCTCTGACCTGTCTGTCTCTGACCTGTCTGTCTGTCTCTGACCTGCCTGTCTCTTACCTGTCTGTCTGTCTCTGATCTGTCTGTCTCCCTCTGACCTGTCTGTCTCCCTCTGACCTGTCTGTCTGTCTCTGACCTGTGTGTCTCTCTCTGACCTGTCTGTCTCTGACCTGTCTGTCTGTCTCTGAGCTGTGTGTCTGTCTCATACCTGTCTGTCTGTTTCTGACCTGTCTGTCTCTCTCTGACCTGTCTGTCTGTCTCTGATCTGTCTGTCTCCCTCTGACCTGTCTGTCTCCCTCTGACCTGTCTGTCTGTCTCTGACCTGTGTGTCTCTCTCTGACCTGTCTGTCTCTGACCTGTCTGTCTGTCTCTGAGCTGTGTGTCTGTCTCATACCTGTCTGTCTGTTTCTGACCTGTCTGTCTCTCTCTGACCTGTCTGTCTGTCTCTGACCTGTCTCTCTCTCAGTCCCAGTCCTTTCCCAGTAGGAGAGCAGGTTTTAAAGTTGGGATGAAGCTGGAGGGAGTCGACCCGCTCCACCCGTCCATGTTCTGTGTGCTGACAATCGCAGAGGTAACACACACACACACACACACACACACACACACACACACACACACACACACACACCTGTCTGCTGTCACTCAGGAGAGTCTCCTGTCTTTCTGTCAGGTGATAGGCTGTCGGTTACGTCTTCATATTGACGGGTACTCGGAGTGCTATGACTTCTGGGTAAACGCTGACTCCGCCCACATCAGACCGGCGGGATGGTGTAAAGACAGCAACCACAAGCTCCACCCACCCAAAGGTGAGAACAGGAAGTCCCGCCCTCTCAATGAAACATTCTGACACAGTCACCTGTCTGTCTCTCTACAGGTCACAGTGAGACACAATTTGATTGGCCCATCTACCTTCAGTCCACCGGCTCTCATGCTGCCCCGCCCACACTGTTCACCCGTCGCACTGAAGTCAGTACACACCTGTCTGTCTCTCTGCCTGTCTGTCTCTCAGAGCTGTACCTCCTGTCTCACCTGTCTGTCTCTCAGAGCTGTAGCTCCTGTCTCACCCGTCTGTCTCTCTGCCTGTCTGTCTCTCAGAGCTGTAGCTCCTGTCTCACCCGTCTGTCTCTCTGCCTGTCTGTCTCTCAGAGCTGTAGCTCCTGTCTCACCTGTCTGTCTCTCTGCCTGTCTGTCTCTCAGAGCTGTAGCTCCTGTCTCACCTGTCTGTCTCTCAGAGCTGTAGCTCCTGTCTCACCTGTCTGTCTCTCAGAGCTGTAGCTCCTGTCTGACCTGTCTGTCTCTCAGAGCTGTAGCTCCTGTCTGACCTGTCTGTCTCTGTGCCTGTCTGTCTCTCAGAGCTGTACCTCCTGTCTCACCTGTCTGTCTCTGTGCCTGTCTGTCTCTCAGAGCTGTACCTCCTGTCTCACCTGTCTGGCTCTCAGAGCTGTAGCTCCTGTCTCACCCGTCTGTCTCTCTGCCTGTCTGTCTCTCAGCGCTGTAGCTCCTGTCTCACCCGTCTGTCTCTGTGCCTGTCTGTCTCTCAGAGCTCTAGCTCCTGTCTCATCTGTCTGTCTCTCTGCCTGTCTGTCTCTCAGAGCTGTAGCTCCTGTCTCACCTGTCTGTCTCTCTGCCTGTCTGTCTCTCAGAGCTGTAGCTCCTGTCTCACCCGTCTGTCTCTCTGCCTGTCTGTCTCTCAGAGCTGTAGCTCCTGTCTCACCCGTCTGTCTCTCTGCCTGTCTGTCTCTCAGAGCTGTAGCTCCTGTCTCACCTGTCTGTCTCTCTGCCTGTCTGTCTCTTAGAGCTGTGATTTCTCTGTGGGGATGAGGTTGGAGGCGGTCGACAGGAAGAACCCTGGACTGGTCTGTGTCGCCTCTGTTGCTGATGTCATCGATGACCAGCTTCGAGTTCATTTTGACAACTGGGATGACACATATGACTACTGGTAAGAGAGACAGGTGGAGGAGAGACAGGTGGAGGAGAGACAGGTAACATTGTGATGTTCTGTTCTGTTTGTTTTGATCAGGTGTGACAGCAGCAGTCCTTACATCCATCCTGTTGGCTGGTGTGAAGAACAGGGGCGCCCCCTGACTGCTCCACAGGGTACTACACCCGTACATACATTCCTCACGCTGTCACACTCTGAACTCTGCAGCATCACCATGTGCTCTCTTTGCTCAGGTCATCCAAGTCCAGAGAACTTCCTGTGGGAGGACTACCTGCAGGAAACTGGTTCCACTGCTGCTCCCAGTTCAGCATTCACACTGGTGAGGAAACAACTAGATAATAAAGGAAACTAGGAGGTAGAGAGGGTAACAAGGAGGTGGGGAAGGATACAATGAGGTAAAGGAGGAAACAAGGAGGTGGAGGAGGAAACATGGAGGTGGAGGAGGAAACAAGGAGGTGGAGAAGGAAACATGGAGGTACAGGAGGAAACAAGGAGGTGGAGGAGGAAACAAGGAGGTAGAGAGGGTAACAAGGAGGTGGAGAAGGAAACATGGAGGTTGAGAGGGTAACAAGGAGGTTGAGAAGGACAGGAAGGAGACAAGGATAAAAAGATAGAGAAGTAGGAATAGAAGGGAGGAGCAGGTAAGAAAGTTCTTGGGTCCAATCAGAGAGCTGATTATTGACTGGTGTCTTTGTGTCCAATCAGAGAGCCCCTCATGGTTTCCAGGTGAACCACAGACTAGAAGCGGTCGACAGGAGGAACCCCATGCTTATCCGTGTTGCCACGGTAACAGATACAGAAGACTTTAGGGTGAAGGTAAGCTGTCTGTCTACCTGTCTGTGGCTCTGAGTGATGTCATCATGTAACCAGGTGTGTTTACCTGTCTGTGGCTCTGAGTGATGTCATCATGTAACCAGGTGTGTTTACCTGTCTGACGCTCTGAGTGATGTCATCATGTAACCAGGTGTGTTTACCTGTCTGTGGCTCTGAGTGATGTCATCATGTAACCAGGTGTGTTCACCTGCAGGTTCATTATGACGGCTGGTCGCAGCAGTTTGATGTCTGGTGTGACAGCGACCTCAGTGATCTCCATCCTGTCGGCTGGTGTCAACGCACAGGACACCCACTGGACACGCCCCCAGGTCAGACAGACAGGTCAGAGGGAGAGAGACAGGTCAGAGAGAGAGAGACAGGTCAGAGAGAGAGAGACAGGTAGGTCAGACAGACAGGTCAGAGAGAGAGAGAGAGACATGTCAGAGAGAGAGAGACAGGTAGGTCAGACGGACAGGTCAGAGGGAGAGAGAGACAGGTCAGAGAGAGAGAGACAGGTAGGTGAGGTTACAGGTTTATTGATGATTTTGACTGTGTGTGTGTGTGTGTGTGTGTGTGTGTGTGTGTGTGTGTGTGTGTGTGTGTGTGTGTGTGTGTGTGTGTGTGTGTGTGTGTGTGTGTGTGTGTGTGTGTGTGTGTGAGACAGGTTCTTCCCCCCTCTCCTCTCCCCCTCAGGGTGTGTGTCCAACCCCAGGCTGCAGAGGCATCGGACACATTAAAGGGGCAAAATACAATGGACACCACAGGTAAAACACACAAGTCATGTTTCCATCTGCTGAGTCGTGTTTCTTTTTATCGAGTCATGTTTCCACCTGCTGAGTCGTGTTTCCACCTGCTGAGTCGTGTTTCCACCTGCTGAGTCGTGTTTCTTTTTATCGAGTCATGTTTCCACCTGCTGAGTCGTGTTTCCACCTGCTGAGTCGTGTTTCCACCTGCTGAGTCATGTTTCCACCTGCTGAGTCATGTTTCCACCTGTTTGTATCAGTAATGTTTCCACCTGCTCAGTCGTGTTTCTTTGTATCGAGTCGTGTTTCCATCTGCTGAGTCGTGTTTCCACCTGCTTAGTCGTGTTTCTGTTCATCAAGTCGTGTTCCCACCTGCTTAGTCGTGTTTCTTTTTATCAAGTCGTGTTTCCACCTGCTGAGTCGTGTTTCTGTTCATCAAGTCGTGTTCCACCTGCTGAGTCGTGTTTCTGTTCATCAAGTCGTGTTCCCACCTGCTTAGTCGTGTTTCCACCTGCTGAGTCGTGTTTCTTTTTATCGAGTCATGTTTCCACCTGCTGAGTCGTGTTTCTTTTTATCGAGTCATGTTTCCACCTGCTGAGTCGTGTTTCCACCTGCTGAGTCGTGTTTCCACCTGCTGAGTCGTGTTTCTGTTCATCAAGTCGTGTTTCCACCTGCTGAGTCGTGTTTCTTTTTATCGAGTCGTGTTTCCACCTGCTGAGTCGTGTTTCCACCTGCTGAGTCGTGTTTCCACCTGCTGAGTCGTGTTTCCACCTGCTGAGTCATATTTATTTTTATCGAGTCGTGTTCCCACCTGCTTAGTCGTGTTTCCACCTGCTGAGTCGTGTTTCTTTTTATCGAGCCATGTTTCCACCTGCTGAGTCGTGTTTCCACCTGTTGAGTCGTGTTTCTTTTTATCGAGTCATGTTTCCACCTGCTGAGTCGTGTTTCCACTGCTGAGTCGTGTTTCCACCTGCTGAGTCATGTTTCCACCTGTTTGTATCAGTAATGTTTCCACCTGCTCAGTCGTGTTTCTTTGTATCGAGTCGTGTTTCCATCTGCTGAGTCGTGTTTCCACCTGCTGAGTCGTGTTTCTTTGTATCGAGTCGTGTTTCCACCTGCTGAGTCGTGTTTCTGTTCATCAAGTCGTGTTCCCACCTGCTTAGTCGTGTTTCTTTGTATCGAGTCGTGTTTCCACTGCTGAGTCGTGTTTCTGTTCATCAAGTCGTGTTCCCACCTGCTGAGTCGTGTTTCTGTTATCAAGTCGTGTTCCACCTGCTGAGTCGTGTTTCTGTTCATCAAGTCGTGTTCCCACCTGTTAGTCGTGTTTCCACCTGCTGAGTCGTGTTTCCACCTGTTTGTATCAGTAATGTTTCCACCTGCTGAGTCGTGTTTCTTTTATCAAGTCGTGTTTCCACCTGCTGAGTCGTGTTTCCACCTGCTGAGTCATATTTATTTTTATCGAGTCGTGTTCCATGCTTAGTCGTGTTTCACTGTTGAGTCGTGTTTCTTTTTATCGAGTCATGTTTCCACCTGCTGAGTCGTGTTTTCCACCTGCTGAGTCATGTTTCCACCTGTTGTATCAGTAATGTTTCACCTGCTCAGTCGTGTTTCTTTGTATCGAGTCGTGTTTCACTGCTGAGTCGTGTTTCCACCTGCTGAGTCGTGTTTCTTTTTATCGAGTCGTGTTCCACCTGCTGAGTCGTGTTTCTTTGTATCGAGTCGTGTTCCACCTGCTTAGTCGTGTTTCCACTGCTGAGTCGTGTTTTTTTTATCGAGTCGTGTTCCCACCTGCTGAGTCGTGTTCTCTTTTATCGAGTCATGTTTCCACTTGCTGAGTCGTGTTTCCACCTGCTGAGTCGTGTTTCCACCTGCTGAGTCATATTTCTTTTATGAGTCGTGTTCCCACCTGCTTAGTCGTGTTTCCACCCTGCTGAGTCTGTGTTCTTTTTTTATCGAGTCATGTTTCCACCTGCTGAGTCGTGTTTCCACCTGCTGAGTCGTGTTTCCACCTGCTGAGTCATATTTATTTTTATCGAGTCGTGTTCCCACCTGCTTAGTCGTGTTTCCACTGCTGAGTCGTGTTTCTTTTATCGAGTCATGTTTCCACTGCTGAGTCGTGTTTCCACCTGCTGAGTCATGTTTCCACCTGCTGAGTCATGTTTCCACCTGTTTGTATTAGTAATGTTTCCACCTGCTCAGTCGTGTTTCTTTGTATCGAGTCGTGTTTCCATCTGCTGAGTCATGTTTCCATCTGCTGAGTCGTGTTTCTTTGTATCGAGTCGTGTTTTCACCTGCTGAGTCGTTGTTCCACTGCTGAGTCGTGTTTCTGTCATCAAGTCGTGTTTCTTTTTATCGAGTCGTGTTCCACCTGCTGAGTCGTGTTTCTTTTATGAGTCCTGTTTTTCCACCTGCTGAGTTATGTTTTTTTATCGAGTCATGTTTCCACCTGCTGAGTCATGTTTTCTTTTTATCGAGTCATGTTTCCAACCTGCTGAGTCGTGTTTCCACCTGCTGAGTCGTGTTTCCACCTGCTGAGTCATGTTTCCACCTGCTGAGTCATGTTTCCACCTGTTTGTATCAGTAATGTTTCCACCTGCTCAGTCGTGTTTCTGTTCATCAAGTCGTGTTCCCACCTGCTTAGTCGTGTTTCCACCTGCTGAGTCGTGTTTCTTTTTATCGAGTCGTGTTTCCACCTGCTGAGTCGTGTTTCTTTGTATCGAGTCGTGTTTCCATCTGCTGAGTCGTGTTTCCACCTGCTGAGTCGTGTTTCTTTGTATCGAGTCGTGTTTCCACCTGCTGAGTCGTGTTTCTGTTCATCAAGTCGTGTTCCCACCTGCTTAGTCGTGTTTCTTTGTATCGAGTCGTGTTTCCACCTGCTGAGTCGTGTTTCTTTATATCGAGTCGTGTTTCCACCTGCTGAGTCGTGTTTCTGTTCATCAAGTCGTGTTCCCACCTGCTTAGTCGTGTTTCTTTGTATCGAGTCGTGTTTCCACCTGCTTAGTCGTGTTTCTTTTTATCAAGTCGTGTTTTCACCTGCTGAGTCGTGTTTCTGTTCATCAAGTCGTGTTCCACCTGCTGAGTCGTGTTTCTGTTCATCAAGTCGTGTTCCCACCTGCTTAGTCGTGTTTCCACCTGCTGAGTCGTGTTTCTTTTTATCGAGTCATGTTTCCACCTGCTGAGTCGTGTTTCCATCTGCTGAGTCGTGTTTCTTTTTATCGAGTCATGTTTCCACCTGCTGAGTCGTGTTTCCACCTGCTGAGTCGTGTTTCCACCTGCTGAGTCGTGTTTCTGTTCATCAAGTCGTGTTTCCACCTGCTGAGTCGTGTTTCTTTTTATCGAGTCGTGTTTCCACCTGCTGAGTCGTGTTTCCACCTGCTGAGTCGTGTTTCCACCTGCTGAGTCGTGTTTCCACCTGCTGAGTCATATTTATTTTTATCGAGTCGTGTTCCCACCTGCTTAGTCGTGTTTCCACCTGCTGAGTCGTGTTTCTTTTTATCGAGCCATGTTTCCACCTGCTGAGTCGTGTTTCCACCTGTTGAGTCGTGTTTCTTTTTATCGAGTCATGTTTCCACCTGCTGAGTCGTGTTTCCACCTGCTGAGTCGTGTTTCCACCTGCTGAGTCATGTTTCCACCTGTTTGTATCAGTAATGTTTCCACCTGCTCAGTCGTGTTTCTTTGTATCGAGTCGTGTTTCCATCTGCTGAGTCGTGTTTCCACCTGCTGAGTCGTGTTTCTTTGTATCGAGTCGTGTTTCCACCTGCTGAGTCGTGTTTCTGTTCATCAAGTCGTGTTCCCACCTGCTTAGTCGTGTTTCTTTGTATCGAGTCGTGTTTCCACCTGCTGAGTCGTGTTTCTGTTCATCAAGTCGTGTTCCCACCTGCTGAGTCGTGTTTCTGTTCATCAAGTCGTGTTCCCACCTGCTGAGTCGTGTTTCTGTTCATCAAGTCGTGTTCCCACCTGCTTAGTCGTGTTTCCACCTGCTGAGTCGTGTTTCCACCTGTTTGTATCAGTAATGTTTCCACCTGCTGAGTCGTGTTTCTTTGTATCAAGTCGTGTTTCCACCTGCTGAGTCGTGTTTCCACCTGCTGAGTCATATTTATTTTTATCGAGTCGTGTTCCCACCTGCTTAGTCGTGTTTCCACCTGTTGAGTCGTGTTTCTTTTTATCGAGTCATGTTTCCACCTGCTGAGTCGTGTTTCCACCTGCTGAGTCATGTTTCCACCTGTTTGTATCAGTAATGTTTCCACCTGCTCAGTCGTGTTTCTTTGTATCGAGTCGTGTTTCCATCTGCTGAGTCGTGTTTCCACCTGCTGAGTCGTGTTTCTTTTTATCGAGTCGTGTTCCCACCTGCTGAGTCGTGTTTCTTTGTATCGAGTCGTGTTCCCACCTGCTTAGTCGTGTTTCCACCTGCTGAGTCGTGTTTCTTTTTATCGAGTCGTGTTTCCACCTGCTGAGTCGTGTTTCTTTTATCGAGTCATGTTTCCACTTGCTGAGTCGTGTTTCCACCTGCTGAGTCGTGTTTCCACCTGCTGAGTCATATTTCTTTTTATCGAGTCGTGTTCCCACCTGCTTAGTCGTGTTTCCACCTGCTGAGTCGTGTTTCTTTTTATCGAGTCATGTTTCCACCTGCTGAGTCGTGTTTCCACCTGCTGAGTCGTGTTTCCACCTGCTGAGTCATATTTATTTTTATCGAGTCGTGTTCCCACCTGCTTAGTCGTGTTTCCACCTGCTGAGTCGTGTTTCTTTTTATCGAGTCATGTTTCCACCTGCTGAGTCGTGTTTCCACCTGCTGAGTCATGTTTCCACCTGCTGAGTCATGTTTCCACCTGTTTGTATTAGTAATGTTTCCACCTGCTCAGTCGTGTTTCTTTGTATCGAGTCGTGTTTCCATCTGCTGAGTCATGTTTCCATCTGCTGAGTCGTGTTTCTTTGTATCGAGTCGTGTTTCCACCTGCTGAGTCGTGTTCCCACCTGCTGAGTCGTGTTTCTGTTCATCAAGTCGTGTTTCTTTTTATCGAGTCGTGTTCCCACCTGCTGAGTCGTGTTTCTTTTTATCGAGTCCTGTTTCCACCTGCTGAGTTATGTTTCTTTTTATCGAGTCATGTTTCCACCTGCTGAGTCATGTTTCTTTTTATCGAGTCATGTTTCCACCTGCTGAGTCGTGTTTCCACCTGCTGAGTCGTGTTTCCACCTGCTGAGTCATGTTTCCACCTGCTGAGTCATGTTTCCACCTGTTTGTATCAGTAATGTTTCCACCTGCTCAGTCGTGTTTCTGTTCATCAAGTCGTGTTCCCACCTGCTTAGTCGTGTTTCCACCTGCTGAGTCGTGTTTCTTTTTATCGAGTCGTGTTTCCACCTGCTGAGTCGTGTTTCTTTGTATCGAGTCGTGTTTCCATCTGCTGAGTCGTGTTTCCACCTGCTGAGTCGTGTTTCTTTGTATCGAGTCGTGTTTCCACCTGCTGAGTCGTGTTTCTGTTCATCAAGTCGTGTTCCCACCTGCTTAGTCGTGTTTCTTTGTATCGAGTCGTGTTTCCACCTGCTGAGTCGTGTTTCTTTATATCGAGTCGTGTTTCCACCTGCTGAGTCGTGTTTCTGTTCATCAAGTCGTGTTCCCACCTGCTTAGTCGTGTTTCTTTGTATCGAGTCGTGTTTCCACCTGCTTAGTCGTGTTTCTTTTTATCAAGTCGTGTTTTCACCTGCTGAGTCGTGTTTCTGTTCATCAAGTCGTGTTCCCACCTGCTGAGTCGTGTTTCTGTTCATCAAGTCGTGTTCCACCTGCTTAGTCGTGTTTCCACCTGCTGAGTCGTGTTTCTTTTATCGAGTCATGTTTCCACCTGCTGAGTCGTGTTTCCATCTGCTGAGTCGTGTTTCTTTTTATCGAGTCATGTTTCCACCTGCTGAGTCGTGTTTCCACCTGCTGAGTCGTGTTTCCACCTGCTGAGTCGTGTTTCTGTTCATCAAGTCGTGTTTCCACCTGCTGAGTCGTGTTTCTTTTTATCGAGTCGTGTTTCCACCTGCTGAGTCGTGTTTCCACCTGCTGAGTCGTGTTTCCACCTGCTGAGTCGTGTTTCTTTGTATCAAGTCGTGTTTCCACCTGCTGAGTCGTGTTTCCACCTGCTGAGTCATATTTATTTTTATCGAGTCGTGTTCCCACCTGCTTAGTCGTGTTTCCACCTGCTGAGTCGTGTTTCTTTTTATCGAGCCATGTTTCCACCTGCTGAGTTGTGTTTCCACCTGCTGAGTCATGTTTCCACCTGTTTGTATCAGTAATGTTTCCACCTGCTGAGTCGTGTTTCTTTGTATCAAGTCGTGTTTCCACCTGCTGAGTCGTGTTTCCACCTGCTGAGTCATATTTATTTTTATCGAGTCGTGTTCCACCTGCTTAGTCGTGTTTCCACCTGTTGAGTCGTGTTTCTTTTTATCGAGTCATGTTTCCACCTGCTGAGTCGTGTTTCCACCTGCTGAGTCGTGTTTCCACCTGCTGAGTCGTGTTTCCACCTGCTGAGTCATGTTTCCACCTGTTTGTATCAGTAATGTTTCCACCTGCTCAGTCGTGTTTCTTTGTATCGAGTCGTGTTTCCATCTGCTGAGTCGTGTTTCCACCTGCAGAGTCGTGTTCCCACCTGCTGAGTCGTGTTTCTGTTCATCAAGTCGTGTTCCCACCTGCTTAGTCGTGTTTCTTTGTATCGAGTCGTGTTTCCACCTGCTGAGTCGTGTTTCTTTTTATCGAGTCATGTTTCCACCTGCTGAGTCGTGTTTCTTTGTATCAAGTCGTGTTTCCACCTGCTGAGTCGTGTTTCCACCTGCTGAGTCATGTTTCCACCTGCTGAGTCATGTTTCCACCTGTTTGTATCAGTAATGTTTCCACCTGCTCAGTCGTGTTTCTTTGTATCGAGTCGTGTTTCCATCTGCTGAGTCGTGTTTCCACCTGCTGAGTCGTGTTTCTTTTTATCGAGTCGTGTTTCCACCTGCTGAGTCGTGTTTCTTTGTATCGAGTCGTGTTTCCACCTGCTGAGTCGTGTTTCTGTTCATCAAGTCGTGTTCCACCTGCTGAGTCGTGTTTCTGTTCATCAAGTCGTGTTCCCACCTGCTTAGTCGTGTTTCCACCTGCTGAGTCGTGTTTCTTTTTATCGAGTTGTGTTTCCACCTGCTGAGTCGTGTTTCTTTTTATCGAGTCATGTTTCCACCTGCTGAGTCGTGTTTCCATCTGCTGAGTCGTGTTTCTTTTTATCGAGTCATGTTTCCACCTGCTGAGTCGTGTTTCCACCTGCTGAGTCGTGTTTCTTTGTATCGAGTCGTGTTTCCACCTGCTGAGTCGTGTTTCCACCTGCTGAGTCGTGTTTCTGTTCATCGAGTCGTGTTTCTTTTTATCGAGTCGTGTTCCCACCTGCTGAGTCGTGTTTCTTTTTATCGAGTCGTGTTTCCACCTGCTGAGTTATGTTTCTTTTTATCGAGTCATTTTTCCACCTGCTGAGTCGTGTTTCTTTTTATCTAGTCATGTTTCCACCTGCTGAGTCATGTTTCTTTTTATCGAGTCATGTTTCCACCTGCTGAGTCGTGTTTCCACCTGCTGAGTCATGTTTCCACCTGCTGAGTCATGTTTCCACCTGTTTGTATTAGTAATGTTTCCACCTGCTCAGTCGTGTTTCTTTGTATCGAGTCGTGTTTCCATCTGCTGAGTCATGTTTCCATCTGCTGAGTCGTGTTTCTTTGTATCGAGTCGTGTTTCCACCTGCTGAGTCGTGTTTCCACCTGCTGAGTCGTGTTTCTGTTCATCGAGTCGTGTTTCTTTTTATCGAGTCGTGTTCCCACCTGCTGAGTCGTGTTTCTTTTTATCGAGTCGTGTTTCCATCTGCTGAGTTATGTTTCTTTTTATCGAGTCATTTTTCCACCTGCTGAGTCGTGTTTCTTTGTATCAAGTCGTGTTTCCACCTGCTGAGTCGTGTTTCCACCTGCTGAGTCATATTTCTTTTTATCGAGTCATGTTTCCACCTGCTGAGTCGTGTTTCCACCTGCTGAGTCGTGTTTCCACCTGCTGAGTCATGTTTCCACCTGCTGAGTCATGTTTCCACCTGTTTGTATCAGTAATGTTTCCACCTGCTCAGTCGTGTTTCTTTGTATCGAGTCGTGTTTCCATCTGCTGAGTCATGTTTCCATCTGCTGAGTCGTGTTTCTTTGTATCGAGTCGTGTTTCCACCTGCTGAGTCGTGTTTCCACCTGCTGAGTCGTGTTTCTGTTCATCGAGTCGTGTTTCTTTTTATCTAGTCATGTTTCCACCTGCTGAGTCATGTTTCTTTTTATCGAGTCCTGTTTCCACCCGCTGAGTCGTGTTTCCACCGCTGAGTCGTGTTTTCACCCGCTGAGTCATGTTTCCACCCGCTGAGTCGTGTTTCCACCCGCTGAGTCGTGTTTTCACCCGCTGAGTCATGTTTCCACCCGCTGAGTCATGTTTCCACCCGCTGAGTCGTGTTTTCACCCGCTGAGTCATGTTTCCACCCGCTGAGTCATGTTTCCACCTGCTGAGTCCTGTTTCCACCCGCTGAATCGTGTTTCCACCTGCTGAGTCGTGTTTTCACCTGCTGAGTCATGTTTCCACCCGCTGAATCGTGTTTCCACCTGCTGAGTCGTGTTTTCACCCGCTGAGTCATGTTTCCACCTGCTGAGTCATGTTTCTTTGTATCTCCCTCAGTGCCTTCGGCTGTCCGTACTCAGACATTAACATGCGTAAAGAGGTGGTACTTCCTGATAGGTTGGGAGGAGAGCGAGTCGTCACTCTGGTTCCTTTCACACAATTTCACCGTGGCAACCATCCCGACAGGTAACCGTCCTTAACCTTCAGTCTGGATTTCTGAAGACTTCTTACTCAAGTTATTGTAACCTGTCTGTCTCTCCCTCTCTGTCTGCCTGTACCTGTCTGTCTCTACCTGTCTGTCTGCCTGTACCTGTCTGTCTCTACCTGTCTGTCTGTTGAACAGTATTCAGGTGAAGATGGAGAACGTTGACCTGCCGCTGCTGCCTCTGGGGAAAAGAAGAATGACAGACAGGTGAGAGAGAGAGACAGATGTGTGTGGGTGTATGTGTGTGTGTGTGTGTGTGTGTGTGTGCTGCAGAGATGAAGGATCTTTCTGATTGGCTCATTCAGGAGACCTGACCTGTCTCACTCTCTGCTTAGAATAGTCGACAGGATCATGTGAAGTGTGTGTGGGTGTGAATTGAGATACTCTTTAGATGTTATATAAAACAGGATTATATAAAAAACAACTGAGCTGTCTATGTCACACTACATGTGGTGAATTACCCAGCATGCATTAGAGTGACGTCACAGGGTCATCCATGCGTCTATCACTGTAACGGACTTTCTCTATCAGACGTGATTGTGTCGTCAAGACAACCATTATGTTGACAACATACTTTTCTACACTTCAGACTGCACAGAAACATCTCACTTCACTTCCTGTATTTTTGATATACATTCCTCTCCTCTGGCTCCTCCCACAGAGTGTCTCAGCCAACCAAATTCCTCCGTGTGAAAAAGGAAGAGAAGCTTCACCCGGGAGCCCTCGGTCCAGGTACCACAAACTCAAACCTGCATTTTTCCTCACAACCAGCAGGGGGAATCTGGTTAATCTTCTTCTGCTGTTGCTTCAAGTGCCTCCTTCTGGTCCAGAAGAGAAACTACACACACACACAGGTGTAGTTTCCATAGAAACAGTCATCTAGAAACAGATGAAGTGGCTGTTTCCATGGAAACATCTCGCCATGGTTACTGCAGTGTTGGTTGTGTTCTGTGCTGAGGACTGCAGCACGAAACTGTCTCACTGCTCAGTGAGGTGAGACGGGTCAGTGCAGAGGTGTCCTGCTGAGTCTGCCCCTCATCTATCTTTCCTTTACCTGTCTGTCTCTCTAGCAGAGTCCAGTCTGCAGGCCACCCTCCACCAGTCTGTCTTCCTGTCGGCCATGTCGGCTCAGCCTGGACGCGACCTGTCTCTCTGCTGGGAGCAACACCGCAAACTTCTGCCAGGGCTGACCGGAGTCCACGCAGAGACCGTCCAACAGTGGAGTGTCCAGCAGGTCAGTTACAGACAGACAGGTCAGAGAGAGACAGACAGGTCAGAGAAAGAGAGACAGACAGGTCAGAGAGAGACCTGTCTGTCTGTCTGTCTCTGACCTGTCTGTCTCTGACCTGTCTGTCTGTGACCTGTCTCTCTCTGACCTGCCTGTCTCTCTCTGATCTGCCTGTCTGTCTCTGACCTGTCTGTCTCTGACCTGTCTGTCTCTGAAATTTCTGTCTGTCTCTGACCTGTTTGTCTGTGACCTGTCTCTCTCTGACATTTCTGTCTCTGACCTGTCTGTCTCTGACCTGTCTCTCTCTGACCTGCCTGTCTGTCTCTGACCTGTCTGTCTCTGACCTGTCAGTCTCTGACCTGTCTCTCTCTGACCTGCCTGTCTGTCTCTGACCTGTCTGTCTCTGACCTGTCTGTCTCTGAAATTTCTGTCTGTCTCTGACCTGTTTGTCTGTGACCTGTCTCTCTCTGACCTGTCTTTCTCTGACATTTCTGTCTCTGACCTGTGTGTCTCTCTCTGACCTGTCTGTCTCTGACCTGTCTCTCTCTGACCTGCCTGTCTCTCTCTGACCTGCCTGTCTGTCTCTGACCTGTCTGTCTCTGACCTGTCAGTCTCTGACCTGTCTCTCTCCAACAGGTCTGTCTCTAACCTGTCTGTCCCTCTGCAGGTGTCAGACTTTGTGGAGTCTCTTCCTGGCTGTGAGGATCAGGCAAAACTGTTCAGAGATGAGGTGAACCAATCAGCTGTTGCAGAATATATTACATCTCTCTAAACCATCATTCATCTCATTGTTTTTGTTTGCCTCTGTCTGTTCAGCAAATTGATGGGCGAGCCTTCCTCCTCCTCACCCAAAGAGACATCATCAGGATCATGTCAATCAAACTTGGTCCCGCCCTCAAAATCTACAACTCCATCCTTATGTTCAAACATGCTGAGGACAGGAACCAATCACACACTGAGGACAGGAGCCAATCACACACTGAGGACAGGAACCAATCACACACTGAGGACAGGAACCAATCACACAATGAGGACAGGAACCAATCACACACTGAGGACAGGAGCCAATCACACACTGAGGACAGGAACCAATCACACACTGAGGACAGGAACCCATCACACACTGAGGACAGGAACCCATCACACACTGAGGACAGGAGCCAATCACACACTGAGGACAGGAACCCATCACACACTGAGGACAGGAACCAATCACACACTGAGGACAGGAACCAATCACACACTGAGGACAGGAACCCATCACACACTGAGGACAGGAACCAATCACACACTGAGGACAGGAACCCATCACACACTGAGGACAGGAACCCATCACACACTGAGGACAGGAACCAATCACACACTGAGGACAGGAACCAATCACACACTGAGGACAGGAACCCATCACACACTGAGGACAGGAACCAATCACACACTGAGGACAGGAACCCATCACACACTGAGGACAGGAACCCATCACACACTGAGGACAGGAACCAATCACACACTGAGGACAGGAACCCATCACACACTGAGGACAGGAACCCATCACACACTGAGGACAGGAACCAATCACACACTGAGGACAGGAACCTCAGTGAGGACAGGAACCAATCAGACACTGAGGACAGGAAACAATCACACACTGAGGAGAGGAACCAATCACACAATGAGGACAGGAACCAATCACACACTGAGGACAGGAACCTATCACACACTGAGAACAGGAACCAATCACACACTGAGGACAGGAACCAATCACACACTGAGGAGAGGAACCAATCAAATATTCAGGACAGGAACCAATCACATGCTGAGGACAAGACCCATGCTGACGACAGGAACCAATCACACACTGAGGACAGGAGCCAATCACACACTGAGGACAGGAACCAATCACACACTGAGGAGAGGAACCAATCAAATATTCAGGACAGGAACCAATCACATGCTGAGGACAGGAACCTATCACATGCTGAGGACAAGACCCAATCACATGCTGACGACAGGAACCTATCACACACTGAGGACAGAATCCAATTACATGTTGAGGACAGGGACAGGGACAAATCAAATGCTGCAAATGCAACCCCTGGAAACTGCAAGTCATGACTTGGCCAATTAGAAAAAATCTGATTGAAGTCCCACAGTCTGTAGGAGGGTCTACATTACCAGCCAATCATGGAAAAGATTACTTTGTGATATCACAGTTTTTTATCTCAGGTGTTTCTGTGGTCACATTATGTCATGTAGGACGTTCTTCTCAAAGCTACAGACTAGGCCTCGCCTCTTTTTGCGGGCTGGACAAAAACCAGTTTGCAAAGAATCCTTGGGGCCTAAAGTACACACCTGCTGTGGTGAAAATCACAAGACAGCTTTGATTTTATATAAGCTATGGATGGAACAGAAACCACTAAACAGGACCAGACTCATTGAGAACAGACAGAAACCTCCAACAGGACCAGACTCATTGAAACAGACAGTAACCTCCAACAGGACCAGACTCATTGAGAACAGACAGAAACCTCCAACAGGACTAGACTCTTAGAGAACAGGCAGAAACCTGGATCAGAACCAGACTCATGATGAACAGACAGAAACCTGGATCAGAACCAGACCCATGATGAACAGGCAGAAACCTGGATCAGAACCAGACTCATGATGAACAGACAGAAACCTGGATCAGAACCAGACCCATGTTGAACAGACAGAAACCTGGATCAGAACCAGACTCATGATGAACAGGCAGAAACCTGGATCAGAACCAGACTCATGATGAACAGACAGAAACCTCCAAAAAGATCAGATGCGTGGAAAACAGACCTCTGTTGAGACTGGATGTTAATTTTTACAAGTATTTGCTTTCATTTGCCTTAAAAAAATAAATCAGAGAAAATAACGTTTCAGAGAGGAAGAGTTTCTCAGGGTTCAGAGACACTGTTTGTGTTTCAGATCATCAACAAAGAAGAAGATGGAAAAAAACAAAGATTGAAGAAAACAAATAAACTATAGATTGAATGCACTGAAGACAATCTTTGTCATTGTTATAAAATCCTCCTCTGGTGTATTTATGGAAATTGTTCATAATATCAACCTCTAAATTCATATTGTCATTTATGTAAGAGCTCATGAACAGGTGTTTAACAGTTGATGACATCTCACTGGCCCCGCCCTTTTGGTGATGATGAAGTCCTCTGTTCCTCAGGATTTTCCCCTTCACAGTTTGTATGCTCACCTCTTGTGAGAGACTCTCTGTCTGTTTGACATCACATAGCTATATCAACCAAAGGCCCTGCCTCCTCTGCTGAGATTGGTCACTTTAAAGAAATAAAAAGACATGTGGAACCGTTTTTAAAATCTTTTCAAAAACTCTCTTGGATTTCAAAAGTCTTTATTTCTAGAGTTTATATTTTTAATTGGTATTGTTATTTACTGTCTCTCAACCTATTTCTATCTGAAAGTTTATATTAAATGTAAGTATTTATATGAACACATACACACTATGAGTCGTAGTCAGATCTGCAAGGGGCCCTCTGCTGCACATTCTCAGACTGTTTCCATCGAAACAGCTCCTGAAGTCACATGTCTGCACTGCTTTCATGTTTCAACAATCTGCAGATGTATATTTTCACTTCCTGTCAGTGTTTTACAGGATTAATAAAGTTTATGTTCCGATGTGAGTGCTGTTCATTCATTGGATAATACATCTCTTTACGCACACAGGTAGCATTGAAACAAGTAGCATTGAAACAGGTAACACTGACACACGTAGCATTGAAACAGGTAACACTGAAACAGGTAACACTGAAACACGTAGCATTGAAACAGGTAACACTGAAACACGTAGCATTGAAACAAGTAACACTGAAACAGGTAGCATTGAAACAGGTAACAGTGAAACACGCAGCACTGAAACAGGTAACACTGAAACAGGTAGCATTGAAACAGGTAACACTGAAACACGTAGCATTGAAACAAGTAACACTGAAACAGGTAGCACTGAAACAGGTAACAGTGAAACAGGTAGCATTGAAACAGGTAACACTGAAACAGGTAACAGTGAAACAGGTAGCACTGAAACAGGTAACACTGAAACAGGTAGCACTGAAACAGGTAACACTGAAACAGGTAACACTGAAACAGGTAGCATTGAAACAGGTAACACTGAAACAGGTAACAGTGAAACAGGTAGCACTGAAACAGGTAGCATTGAAACAGGTAGCATTGAAACAGGTAGCACTGAAACAGGTAACACTGAAACAGATAACACTGAAACAGGTAGCATTGAAACAAGTTAGACTGAAACACGTAGCATTGAAACAGGTAACACTGAAACAGGTAACAGTGAAACAGGTAGCATTGAAACAGGTATCTCTGAAACAGGTAGCATTGAAACAGGTAACACTGAAACAGGTAACACTGAAACAGGTAACACTGAAACAGATAACACTGAAACAGGTAGCATTGAAACAGGTAACACTGAAACAGGTAACACTGAAACAGATAACACTGAAACAGGTAGCATTGAAACAAGTTAGACTGAAACACGTAGCATTGAAACAGGTAGCATTGAAACAGGTATCTCTGAAACAGGTAGCATTGAAACAAGTAACACTGAAACAGGTAACACTGAAACAGGTAGCATTGAAACAAGTTAGACTGAAACACGTAGCATTGAAACAGGTAACACTGAAACAGGTAACAGTGAAACAGGTAGCATTGACACAGGTATCTCTGAAACAGGTAGCATTGAAACAGGTAACACTGAAACAGGTAACAGTGAAACAGGTAGCATTGAAACAGGTAACACTGAAACAGGTAACAGTGAAACAGGTAGCATTGAAACAGGTAACACTGAAACAGGTAACAGTGAAACAGGTAGCACTGAAACAGGTAGCATTGAAACAGGTAGCATTGAAACAGGTAGCACTGAAACAGGTAACACTGAAACAGATAACACTGAAACAGGTAGCATTGAAACAAGTTAGACTGAAACACGTAGCATTGAAACAGGTAACACTGAAACAGGTAACAGTGAAACAGGTAGCATTGAAACAGGTATCTCTGAAACAGGTAGCATTGAAACAGGTAACACTGAAACAGGTAACACTGAAACAGGTAACACTGAAACAGATAACACTGAAACAGGTAGCATTGAAACAAGTTAGACTGAAACACGTAGCATTGAAACAGGTAGCATTGAAACAGGTATCTCTGAAACAGGTAGCATTGAAACAAGTAACACTGAAACAGGTAACACTGAAACAGGTAGCATTGAAACAAGTTAGACTGAAACACGTAGCATTGAAACAGGTAACACTGAAACAGGTAACAGTGAAACAGGTAGCATTGACACAGGTATCTCTGAAACAGGTAGCATTGAAACAGGTAACACTGAAACAGGTAACACTGAAACAGATAACAGTGAAACAGGTAGCATTGAAACAGGTATCTCTGAAACAGGTAACAGTGAAACAGGTAGCATTGAAACAGGTAGCATTGAAACAGGTAACACTGAAACAGGTAACACTGAAACAGGTAGCATTGAAACAAGTTAGACTGAAACACGTAGCATTGAAACAGGTAACACTGAAACAGGTAACAGTGAAACAGGTAGCATTGAAACAGGTATCTCTGAAACAGGTAGCACTGCTTTCCCTTCCTAAGCCATCAGATGGCTTGCCAGAACTTTCTTTAGCTCAACCCGCTGTATGTAAACTGTATATAAACTGTAAATAAACTGTATATATAAACTGTATACAAACTATACAAACTGTATGTAAACTGTAAATAAACTGTATATATAAACTGTATATACGTTGTATGTAAACTGTATATAAACTGTAAATAGACTGTATATATAAACTGTATATACGTTGTATGTAAACTGTATATAAACTGTAAATAGACTGTATATATAAACTGTATATATAAACTGTATATACGTTGTATGTAAACTGTATGTAAACTGTAAATAGACTGTATATATAAACTGTATATATAAACTGTATATATAAACTGTATATACGTTGTATGTAAACTGTATGTAAACTGTAAATAGACTGTATATATAAACTGTATATATAAACTGTATATATAAACTGTATATATAAACTGTATATACGTTGTATGTAAACTGTATGTAAACTGTAAATAGACTGTATATATAAACTGTATATATAAACTGTATATATAAACTGTATATATAAACTGTATATACGTTGTATGTAAACTGTATGTAAACTGTAAATAGACTGTATATATAAACTGTATATATAAACTGTATATATAAACTGTATATACGCTGTATGTAAACTGTATATAAACTGTAAATAAACTGTATATATAAACTGTATATACGCTGTATGTAAACTGTATATAAACTGTAAATAAACTGTATATATAAACTGTATATACGTTGTATGTAAACTGTATATAAACTGTAAATAGACTGTATATATAAACTGTATATACGCTGTATGTAAACTGTATATAAACTGTAAATAAACTGTATATACGTTGTATGTAAACTGTATATAAACTGTATATATAAACTGTATATACGCTGTATGTAAACTGTATATAAACTGTAAATAAACTGTATATATAAACTGTATATACGTTGTATGTAAACTGTATATAAACTGTATATATAAACTGTATATACGCTGTATGTAAACTGTATGTAAACTGTAAATAAACTGTATATATAAACTGTATATACGTTGTATGTAAACTGTATATAAACTGTATATATAAACTGTATATACGCTGTATGTAAACTGTATGTAAACTGTAAATAAACTGTATATATAAACTGTATATACGCTGTATGTAAACTGTATGTAAACTGTAAATAGACTGTATATATAAACTGTAGATACGTTGTATGTAAACTGTATGTAAACTGTATACAAACTATACATAAATGTGCTGATTTGAAGCATCTATCTTCTCTATATAAACTTGTATACTTAATGTTTATTTCCTGGTTAAGTGTTGATGAACAACAACATGTTAAAAAAAGAATCTATACTTTTATGTTTGTTTGTTTTTCTTTCAGTTCTGAACAATATGAAATGTAAGAATTTTTACCCAGAATTCACAGCAGGTGAGTGTTAGGATCTGTGATGGGGACAGGTCCAATGCAGCATTTACACATTTTTCTTATGTTCTGCCTCTGTTGCCTAGCAACAGCAGCATCCCAGAATCAGCATCCCACACAGACCACACCAGGACCATAACCACAACGTAGTTTCCTAAACACAGAGAGAGACAGGCTAAGAGACAGACAGACAGACAGACAGGTAAAGAGACAGACAGAGAGGCAGACAGACAGGTAAAGAGACAGACAGGTAAAGAGAGAGTGCCCTTTTAATTGGCTTCATACTGATAAACATTTGCACTAATTTTTATTCATTCAAATTCGAACTGTTTCTCTCTCTGACCTGTCTCTCTCTCTCTCTGACCTGTCTCTCTCTCTGACCTGTCTGTCTCTCTTCACTCCCCATCACTGCAGGAAAAAAAGTGGTATAGAGGTGAATGCAGACAGAGAGAGCAGGGTAGAGAAAGGGGAGGGAAGAGCGTGAGAGGAGGGAGGAGAGAGAGGAGGGGGGACACGTTTGAAGAGGAGAAATCGTCGAGCTGCAGCAGATGGAGGAGACGAAGAAGATGACGATGAAGAGGAGAAAAGAGACGAAATATGAAGCAGCTCAAACTGTGAGAAACAAACACGCTGTTATCTTCTATTTTATGCTGTTCTGTTATATTCTATAATATACTGCTTGATGTTCTGTTCTGTTCTATACTGTTCTGTTCTATACTGGTCTATACTATTTTGTTCTGTTCTATACTGTTCTGCTCTGTTCTATACTGTTCTATACTGTTCTGTACTGTTCTGTTCTGTTCTATACTGTTCTATATTGTTATGTACTGTTCTGTTCTGTTCTATACTGTTCTGTTCTGTTCTGTTCTGTTCTGTTCTGTTCTGTTCTGTTCTGTTCTGTTCTGTTCTGTTCTGTTATGTTCTATACTGTTCTGTTCTGTTCTATACTGATGGTCGTCCCTCAGGCTGTGATTGGACATACTGTATGTGTTGCTCCCTATCCACTACATAGTGCACTATGTAGTGGATATGGAGTGAAGAATACTCCTGTAGTGCACTATGTAGTGGCTAGGGAGTGAAGAATACTCCTGTAGTGCACTATGTAGTGGATAGGGAGTGAAGAATACTCCTGTAGTGCACTATGTAGTGGCTAGGGAGTGAAGAATACTCCTGTAGTGCACTATGTAGTGGATAGGGAGTGAAGAATACTCCTGTAGTGCACTATGTAGTGGCTAGGGAGTGAAGAATACTCCTGTAGTGCACTATGTAGTGGATATGGAGTGAAGAATACTCCTGTAGTGCACTATGTAGTGGATAGGGAGTGAAGAATACTCCTGTAGTGCACTATGTAGTGGATAGGGAGTGAAGAATACTCCTGCAGTGCACTATGTAGTGGATAGGGAGTGAAGAATACTCCTGCAGTGCACTATGTAGCGGATAGGGAGTGAAGAATAATGGTCCAGATGTTGTTAGGGTTACCAGAGACATGTCATCAGCATATTTAAACAGAGTCAGTTCAGAACTCTCAATGACTGCTGCTGATGTGCTCTGCTTCTGGCCACTTCCTGTCAGCCCCTCTGGTCACTTCCTGTCAGCCCCTCTGGTCACTTCCTGTCAGCCCCTCTGGTCACTTCCTGTCACCCTTCTGGTCACTTCCTGTCAGTACCCTCTGGTCACTTCCTGTCATCCCTTCTGGTCACTTCCTGTCACCCCTCTGGTCACTTCCTGTCAGTACCCTCTGGTCACTTCCTGTCACCCCTCTGGTCACTTCCTGTCAGTACCCTCTGGTCACTTCCTGTCATCCCCTCTGGTCACTTCCTGTCAGTACCCTCTGGTCACTTCCTGTCAGACCCTCTGGTCACTTCCTGTCAGTACCCTCTGGTCACTTCCTGTCAGACCCTCTGGTCACTTCCTGTCAGCCCCTCTGGTCACTTCCTGTCAGTACCCTCTGGTCACTTCCTGTCATCCCCTCTGGTCACTTCCTGTCAGTACCCTCTGGTCACTTCCTGTCAGTACCTCTGGTCACTTCCTGTCAGACCCTCTGGTCACTTCCTGTCAGACCCTCTGGTTGTCGTTTCCTCCTCTCTAGATGTCGTTGTGTTAACTGGCTGCTGTGTGAACTTGTTCTGTAAAGTCGACGAGACGACCTCGCCTGGTGACATGAGAGAGACGCCATGATGAGACGACCTCGCCTGGTGACATGAGAGAGACGCCATGATGAGACGACCTCGCCTGGTGACATGAGAGAGACGCCATTCTGCCCGTTGGAGGTTATTGTTGTGTTACAGAGCGTTGCTGTAACACATCTGATACTGCCTGTCTCTCTACCTGTCTCTCTCTCTCACTGACAGGAAGTGGGTGACTGAGTTCAGGTGAGGTCTTGGTGGGTTGGGCTTAGCCCCCTAAGCCACCATATGATTGGCTGTTGGTGATGATCGCAACCGGTGGCCTCCTGCGGATCAACGCACGACGACAAGATTCACTGAAAAACAAATCACAAAAAGAACACACACACAAGAAGAAGAAAAAGAAGAGGTAACACACACACACACACACACACACACACACACACACACACACAACACACACACACAGACACACACACACACACACAGACACACACACACACACACACACACACACACACACACACACACCCATGATGATGATGTCACTTCCTGTCCCCCAGGAGGAGTGAGGTGGTCGTGGTGAAGGGGAAGTTGAAGGTCTTTTCAGTCTCTGGTCTGGTGGCGGCTCTCGGCATACTGGTTCTGTTGGTGGGTGTCGTCATGGCCGCCCTGGGTTACTGGCCTCGAGAAGGACTGTTCCTCAGCGCACGGCCACAAGAGGGCGCTGCCATGGCATCAGTGTCTACCAGCAGGGCACCTGTAGACGTCCAGGTGAGGCAGGAGGGGGCAGTAGAACACGTGAGGGGGCAGTAGAACATGTGAGGGGCAGTAGAACAGGTGAGGGGGCAGTAGAACAGGTGAGGGGCAGTAGAACAGGTGAGGGGGCAGTAGAACAGGTGAGGGGGCAGTAGAACATGTGAGGGGCAGTAGAACAGGTCAGGGGCAGTAGAACAGGTCAGGGGCAGTAGAACATGTGAGGGCAGTAGAACAGGTGAGGGGGCAGTAGAACAGGTGAGGGGCAGTAGAACAGGTGAGGGGGCAGTAGAACATGTGAGGGGGCAGTACAACATGTGAGGGGCAGTAGAACAGGTGAGGGGCAGTAGAACAGGTGAGGGGGCAGTAGAACATGTGAGGGGCAGTAGAACAGGTCAGGGGCAGTAGAACAGGTCAGGGCAGTAGAACATGTGAGGGGGCAGTAGAACAGGTGAGGGGCAGTAGAACATGTGAGGGGCAGTAGAACATGTGAGGGGGCAGTAAAACATGTGAGGGGCAGTAGAACATGCGAGGGGGCAGTAGAACATGCAAGGGGCAGTAGAACATGCGAGGGGGCAGTAGAACATGCGAGGGGGCAGTAGAACATGTGAGGGGGCAGTAGAACATAATTTGAAACGCCTCATAGTTTTTACATACAAATGAGCATTTTCTAATTTGAGATGATATTTACATGTATTTATATTTTCTCTTTGGTTGTAGGGGGGGGAGAGGGGGGAGGACGAAGCTGAGACTGTCTACAGAGGGGGAGGAGTCGACAGAGGGGGAGGAGGAGGGGATGAAGATGGAGGAGTGGGGGTTGGTTATAATCAAACAGAAAAACTCAACGGGACATCTGGACATCGCCCACAAGGCTTCCTGGAGGATTTCCTGGACAGGTGAACAAATAGACCGATCATACATGAAACAGATCCTTTAGTGCTTCTGCAGGTTCCACAGGATCTGCAGGTTCTACAGGATCTGCAGGTTCCACAGGATCTGCAGGTTCTACAGGATCTGTAGGTTCTACAGGATCTGTAGGTTCTAAAGGATCTGCAGGATCTACAGGTTCGACAGGATCTGTAGGTTCCACAGGATCTGCAGCCTCTACAGGATCTGCAGGTTCTACAGGATCTGCAGGCTCTGAAGGATCTGCAGACTCCACAGGATCTGCAGGTTCCACAGGATCTGCAGGATCTGCAGGTTCTACAGGATCTGCAGGATCTGCATGTTCCACAGGATCTGCATGTTCCGCAGGATCTGCAGGTTCTACAGGATCTGTAGGTTCTACAGGATCTGCAGACTCCACAGGATCTGCATGTTCCACAGGATCTGCAGGTTCTACAGGATCTGCAGGTTCTACAGGATCTGCAGGTTCTACAGGATCTGTAGGTTCTACAGGATCTGCAGACTCCACAGGATCTGCATGTTCCACCGGGGCTGCAGGTTCCACAGGATCTGTAGGTTCTTTAAGATACTTAAAATGAGGTCGTAGTCCTTAAAGCCTTCAAACCGGACTCTGTAACTGGATGTTTGTCCCACCCCTCTGCAGGTATCTGTACTCTGATAGGCTGAAGGTCTTAGGCCCTCTCATCATGGGCATCGGTATCTTCCTTTTCATCTGTGCGAACGCCGTCCTGCACGAGAACCGCGACAAGAAGACCAAAGTTATCAACCTTCGGGACATTTACTCGACCGTCATCGACCTCCACAGCCTCCGCAAACCCAATGCCTCCTCTGGCTCCTCCCACAATCCCCTCAATGGCCTCATTAACTACGTCCAATCAAAGAGCCTGGAGACCAAGCCTCGACAATACCCAGCCTCTTTGATGAACAGGAGGGAGGGAGGGGGAGGAGGGGAGGGGGGCAGGGCCTATGGTACAGAGGGAGGAGACTCAGTGTTCAGTATCTACCAGGAGGAGGAAGTTCCTGTTCCCCCTCCCTCCTCTGACAGACTCTCCCTCCCCCCAAGCTTCAGCCCCCCCCTATCTTCCACCTACTGGACCTCCTTTCAGAAGGAGGCACTCAGCTCCTTCACCCTCCCCCTCCGCCACCCACGCCCTTCCCCCTCCCACAGGAGGCACTCAGCTAGGACAGGGATGGGCGGGGCTAGCGACACAGGGGGGAAAAAGGAGCAGAGGATGGAGGAGGGAGGCCACAGAGGGGAGGTGGAGGAGATGTTTTTGCATCCACCACATCCTCTGTGCGCCTCCACTCCCCCCCCGCTGAGACCCGGTCAGGGATCATCTGGACTTTCCTGCAGCTCCTCCAGTCTCAACAGGGGGCCACCAGGAGGCTCCCAGGCCATGCTTCTCCTCTCCTGCTCCTCCCTCACCCCCTCCCACCTTTCCCTATCATCTCTGTCTCATCTCCTCTCCTCTTACTCCTCCACACTAGTCCCACCCTGCAGGAGGCGGAGCCTCCCGAGCAGCAGTGCCGCAGGTTACAGCAAACTGACAAAAGGAGAAGATGAATCGTTTGAGTCAACTGAGATGACATCATTACATTTTATGAAATCACAAGAGGGGGGTCAATGGTCAGGAGAAGTGACATCACACAGGGAGAAGCTCAGGATGATCTCGCAGGCCGACGACCAATCAGGAGTCAGAGAAGCACAAGTCGGAGGTCAAGTTTGATGACATCATCATCCAATAAGAAGGAACTGTTATTTTGGATATAAAATGTATTTCCATTTTAATAACCTGATTTGACTAGGATTAATTTGTTAACTCCAAAGATTAACTCATGGACTAGGAGTATTAACTCGTTGATTTGGAGGATTAACTCGTTGACTTGGAAGATTAACTCGTTGATTTGGAGGATTAACTCGTTGATTTGGAGGATTAACTCGTTGACTTGGAAGATTAACTCGTTGATTTGGAGGATTAACTCGTTGACTTGGAAGATTAACTCGTTGACTTGGAGGATTAACTCATTGACTTGGAAGATTAACTCGTTGATTTGGAAGATTAACTCGTTGACTTGGAGGATTAACTCATTGACTTGGAAGATTAACTCGTTGACTAGGAAGATTAACTCGTTGACTAGGAGGATTAACTCGTAGGAGGAACTGTCAGTTCTTAGCTCAGCTGACTGAGTAACAAAGAGAATATCAAACTTCATATTTACTGCAAATGTTTTTCTATCAAATGTTTGATCAGCTGACGTTTGATCAACAGTTGATGTTTGGGGTTTGGCGACTCGATGCGTCTGTATGGCGTTCAGTGTTTGATGAACTGCTCATGTGAAATAAACTGTGGCGTGATCGGACACTGTGAGTCGAGTGTACAGTTTCCATCCTGAGTCGTCAGTATTTAGAACATCCAACAGTTTGAGTCAGAAGCCTGTAGACTCTGGATTCTCTGTTGTTGATCAAACAGGAAGTATTTAGTTTCAAACAAACTCATGTTTGATGACCTGCAATCAATTCGACAACAGTCATGTTACGAAGAGCCTGATGTATAGAGAAGAGTTTAATCTGCATAAAGATAAACATCTCAGCTCAAGAGTGGAGATCTGTGGAGAATAAAAGAGGACTAAGAATAGAGCCCTGAGGAACACCTGGAGAATTTGGAGAACGTCCATGTAGTCCTGTACTGTAATACAGTACATCATGTCTGTTGGATTTTTATTTATTTAAATGATTTGATAAATGGATGTTATGCCCCTCCCCCTAGAGGCTTCAACAAGTAACCACTAGTTCAAAGACAACTCTGATGGAATCCTTGATCTTGATAATCACACTTACAATATATCAACTAACGCTCTAAATCTGTATTCTAACTGTGATTTCAGGAGTTTTTTTTTTAAAAGAACAGTGCATATAAGAGGGCTAAATAAGTTCATCATTTGTACCTGTGAATGTCACCTGTGACCTCAGAATGCGTCAAACACCTGTTCAGTTTAATATTTGAGCCATAACTTCCATCAGCATGTAACAAAACTATAACTAGAGGTTTAAACTCAAAGTATTTTATTTTAAAATTCTCCTGAGGGAAAGTTTTCCTTCACAACGTCTTCCACCTAAACTGAACCAGGATCAACCCAACACTACAACGTCCAATCAGATGAAGTTTCTAATAGTTTGTCTGCTGTGTTTGACATTTGACATCAGAAAATAAAAGGAAAGCACAATGAGCTCAGCTTTGTGTTGGATCTTTGTGTCCTCTCAGGTCTTCTGTGTCGTCTCTGGTTCATTCACTTCCTCGGACTCTTTAGTTCAATCTTGGTCCAAATTCGACTTTAAGTCCCAGTCATGTTGAGCTCTGCTGTGTTTAAGTCTCACTGAGTGACTTAGAGCTGACAGGTTAACAGGTGCTGTGGACCATTTAAAAGAGCTGATAGTCTGGTGAACACATTTCTTTTATTTTCACATTTTTACTTCAAATCGTCACAGGACACACAGTTATTTAAATATCAGTCATATAATCGGGGTTCAATTGTCTAACTTTAAAAAAAACGTGATTCTAGTGTTGTTCATCCATTCCAGTTTTCTATCACTAACCCGTCAAACAGATGTCCTCAATTATTTTATTCAACACTGTTAGCAGTTAGCTTCAGCACATACAATTAAGTGCGAATTAGACCTGATGGCAAGCTAATGTAAAGCAAACAAAGACCTAGCATTGCGTCTCAGTGCTAATGAAAGCTACAGCATCCTGTAATATTATAAACCTTTAAAATGATTAAACTATAAAACTACTCATGTATCACTATTAACCCACATGTATCACTATCACTACACATGTAACACGATAAACACACATGTATTACTATAAATACAGATGTATCACTATCACTACACATGTATCAACATAAATACAGATGTATCACTATCACTACACATGTATCAATATAAATACAGATGTATCACTATCACTACACATGTATCAATATAAATACAGATGTATCACTATCACTACACATGTATCACGATTAACAATGTATCCTTTTTTTTTTAAGATTTATTTTTGGGCTTTTTGTGCCTTTAATGCAGAGAGAGGACAGTGGATAGAGTCAGAAACCAGAGAGAGAGAGGACAGTGGATAGAGTCTGAAACCAGAGAGAGAGAGGACAGTGGATAGGGTTAGAAATCAGGGAGAGAGAGGACAGTGGATAGAGTCTGAAACCAGAGAGAGAGAGGACAGTGGATAGAGTCAGAAACCAGAGAAAGAGAGAGGACAGTGGATAGAGTCTGAAACCAGAGAGAGAGAGGACAGTGGATAGGGTTAGAAATCAGGGAGAGAGAGGACAGTGGATAGAGTCTGAAACCAGAGACAGAGAGGACAGTGGATAGAGTCTGAAACCAGAGAGAGAGAGGACAGTGGATAGAGTCTGAAACCAGAGACAGAGAGGACAGTGGATAGAGTCTGAAACCAGAGAGAGAGAGAGGACAGTGGATAGAGTCTGAAACCAGAGAAAGAGAGAGGACAGTGGATAGAGTCTGAAACCAGGGAGAGAGAGGACAGTGGATAGGGTTAGAAATCAGGGAGAGAGGACAGTGGATAGAGTCTGAAACCAGAGACAGAGAGGACAGTGGATAGAGTCTGAAACCAGAGAGAGAGAGGACAGTGGATAGAGTCTGAAACCAGAGACAGAGAGGACAGTGGATAGAGTCTGAAATCAGGGAGAGAGGACAGTGGATAGAGTCTGAAACCAGAGAGAGAGGACAGTAGATAGAGTCTGAAACCAGAGAGAGAGAGGACAGTGGATAGAGTCAGAAACCAGAGAGAGAGAGGACAGTGGATAGAGTCTGAAACCAGAGAGAGAGAGGACAGTGGATAGAGTCAGAAACCAGAGAGAGAGGACAGTGGATAGAGTCTGAAACCAGAGAGAGAGAGGACAGTGGATAGAGTCTGAAACCAGAGAGAGAGAGGACAGTGGATAGAGTCAGAAACCAGAGAGAGAGAGGACAGTGGATAGAGTCTGAAACCAGAGAGAGAGAGAGGACAGTGGATAGAGTCTGAAACCAGAGAGAGAGAGAGGACAGTGGATAGAGTCAGAAACCAGAGAGAGAGAGGACAGTGGATAGAGTCTGAAACCAGAGACAGAGAGGACAGTGGATAGAGTCTGAAACCAGGGAGAGAGAGAGGACAGTGGATAGAGTCTGAAACCAGAGAGAGAGAGGACAGTGGATAGAGTCTGAAATCAGGGAGAGAGAGAGGACAGTGGATAGAGTCAGAAACCAGAGAGAGAGAGGACAGTGGATAGAGTCTGAAACCAGGGAGAGAGAGAGGACAGTGGATAGAGTCAGAAATCAGGGAGAGAGAGAGGACAGTGGATAGAGTCTGAAACCAGGGAGAGAGAGAGGACAGTGGATAGAGTCAGAAACCAGAGAGAGAGAGAGGACAGTGGATAGAGTCAGAAACCAGGGAGAGAGAGAGGACAGTGGATAGAGTCAGAAATCAGGGAGAGAGAGAGGACAGTGGATAGAGTCAGAAATCAGGGAGAGAGAGAGAGAGAGGAATGACATGCGAGAAAGGGGCCACAGGCGGAAGGCGAACCCGGGCCGCCCGCTTGAGAGGACAGCCTCCATACATGGGGCGCGCGCACTAACCACTGCACCACCAGCACCCCACACATGTATAACTATATACAGCTAATAGAGAGCTAGTCACAGCTAATTAAAGCTAACAGAGAGCTAGTCACAGCTAATTAAAGCTAACAGAGAGCTAGTCACAGCTAATTAAAGCTAAGAAATAAGTTTACTTAAGTTTATTAACCCTTTAAAAACAGACTTGTTTTGTAAACATTGAAAAATTAAAATAATTAAAATAAAGGAAGACAGCTGAGATCAGGTAGTGTTTACACTCAGTGTTTACATGTAAACACTACCTGACACTTGTTAATCGATCACTCCTAATGCAGGAAGAAGCTGAGAATATACAGGAAGTAGCATTTCAGTGTATATCTAAACACCTGTGAGTGACAGCATAAGCGTCCAATCACATGGCTAGAGATTTGGTAGTGGTTGGGCTGATTTACACTTCATTCACTTGGATTGGTTGAACACTTTGGCTGCTTGTCTGTGTGTTCAGGACGTTTACACTCAGGAACTTTTCCAGGACTGTTCCAGGATGACAAGGACTTTGACATGAAGCTGCATTAAGAGATTCCAGGTTTTCCAGGATTTAACACACATTATATTTCTATTAGCACTGGCATTGTCTGCCATGAAATAACATCCGCACATCAGACTGGGTTAATCACACGGTAAGCTCTGCCTACCTGGTGTTCCTATTGGTCACCAATAATACAGGTAATGTTATCTTTTTCCTGTTACCTGAAACGTTCAAAATAAGTTCCTGAAAGTGCTTTTTTATCCATCTATAATGATAATCGTTTGTGCATCAGAAGAATGTTCTCTGTTTAAAGAATGTCAGACAGATAATGTCACAGCAGGTAAAAACGTGATGATGTCATCGCCGGGTCCATTTGATCAGCGTCTCAGGTGATCGATACAGGAAGATCAGTTTGGCGTAAAGCTCCTCCTCCAACTCTAGTTCACCTGTCTCCCTCACCTGCACAGAAAACAGTACAGCATGTTTGTGGGTGGGGATACAAGTGTTGTCATGTTTGTTGTTGTTAATAAAGTTGTTGTGTACCAGGAAGATATCGGTGCAGAGTTTGAGGATGCGGTCGACACACGGCAGCTCCTCGAACATGATGGAGTGACTGATCCCACTGAAGAACTCTCGGACAAACTTCCCGATCACCAACACCACCGAGGCGTACAATCCCATGATGCTGCAGGCCGTAACACAGGGAGGAGAAGAAGATGAATTCTGGTACCAAAGATGTACTTCATTTCTTACCAAATTACTGCTACTGCTACCACTAATACTCCAACAGTTACACCAGAACTTTAAAGTGACACATGTTCTACTGCAGCACCTAGAGGTCATGTGTAGTCGTGTGTTTTACTGCAGTAAATAATAATGATGTGTACCCATATCCAGCCAGGAAGCCGAGACTGGGAGGACTGACTTTATCACTGAACACAAACAGCTGAAGCCCCGCCTCCCTCCTGTCACTTAGTGAGGCCCCGCCTTCATCAGGTATCAGACGAGGAGATGGTTGGTCGACGATCCACCACTCCTGGATCTCTTGGCTGTGATTGGTTGAGCGTTCCAAGTCCAGCAGGATGTCCATGTACTGTTCGTCTGATTGGAGGAGAAATGTTTGATGACATCACAGCAGCTTTGTTAAACTTCCTGTTTACATCCAGTATTTATGTTGATGCTTAACTGTTTTGTCATTTGAAAAGTTAAAATGATCCTGGATCGTTAACCTCATCAGTAAAAACTATTTAAATACAGTTATTTTAGATTTAGGGCCCGAGAACTGACCTCGGAGCGAGGACCCTATTGTATCTGTAGGAGTTATTATTCTCTTTTGCAACAAATGAATCGCTTAATTAGGGGCTTTAATTTGTATAAAAAAAATCACCAAACTTCCCCCAAAATTCAGCCTTGTGTGATATTTAGGTAGGAGAACAAAATGACATTATGGCCATTCGCCCAACAGGAAGGGCGCTACGTTCAGTCAAAGTCCACATTCTGCGATTTCTGAGAATTCATGGTGCTCTTATTTGACTCATGATGAACAGCAATCTGCTGAAACTGTGTTGAGGTTGGGAGGGGATAGAGGGAGAGAGACAGAATGAGACAAACAAACAGATCAACAACAAATACCTGTATACAGATGTTGGATGGGTTTAGCATTGGAGTCGCTGGGAGCTCGGATGAAGCACGGAAAGACTTCATGTATGACTCTGAAAACAAACAAACAAACAAAGCTTGAGTTTAAATGTAAAACATGAAAAGACAAAACATCTTCAACAGACCAAAGGCTTTAGTAGACATATTGGTAGTCTAAAAACTTATTTTCTTTTAAGTCTAATGCTAATGCTAACCAGGTTTCCATTGGTTTGCTCTAGCATGCCAACGAACACTCAGACCTCATCAAACTCATGAGTCCAGTCCTTTTGACAGATAACCACGCCCACTCCATCAATCAGCACGTCCCCTTAATGACCAACCCCTTCTTGTGTTCATAGCCCGTCCCCTTTACTCACACAGGTAGTGTCCTGGTTCCATTCAGCAGTTGGATTAGTTCCAGGCGAGTCTGATCATCCAAGTAGGTCACATGTTTACCTGATGCAAGCTCCGCCTTTGCCCCCAGACTCAAGTTCCTGTCGAGAAAAAAAATAATACGATAATACTACCATAAATACAACAACCACTTTAACAACTACAAATACTACTACAACAACAACAACAAACAACCACAACAACCACTTTAACAACTACAAACTACTAAAACAACAACTACTACAACTACAACTATTACTACAACAACTACAAACTACTACAACAACCACTTTAACAACTATAAACTACTACAACAACAACTATAACAACAACTACAACAACTACTACTACAACAACCTCTTTAACAACTACAAATACTACAACACCTACTACTACAACAACAACTACAACAACTACTACTACAACAACCTCTTTAACAACTACAAATACTACAACACCTACTACTACAACAACAACTACAACAACTACTACTACAACAACCTCTTTAACAACTACAAATACTACAACACCTACTACTACAACAACAACTACAACAACTACTACTACAACAACCTCTTTAACAACTACAAATACTACAACCACTACTACTACTACAACAAACTACTACAACAACAACAACTACTACTACAACAACCTCTTTAACAACTACAAATACTACAACACCTACTACTACAACAACTACTACTACAACAACCTCTTTAACAACTACAAATACTACAACACCTACTACTACAACAAACTACTACAACAACAACTACAACAACTACTACTACAACAACCTCTTTAACAACTACAAATACTACAACCACTACTACTACTACAACAAACTACTACAACAACAACAACTACAACAACTACTACTACAACAACCTCTTTAACAACTACAAATACTACAACACCTACTACTACAACAAACTACTACAACAACAACTACAACAACTACTACTACAACAACCTCTTTAACAACTACAAATACTACAACACCTACTACTACAACAAACTACTACAACAACAACAACTACAACAACTACTACAACAACCTCTTTAACAACTACAAATACTACAACCACTACTACTACTACAACAAACTACTACAACAACAACTACAACAACTACTACTACAACAACCTCTTTAACAACTACAAATACTACAACACCTACTACAACAACAACTACCACAACTACAACAACTACTACTACAACAACCACTTTAACAACTACAAACTACTACAAACAACCACAACAACTACTAGTACAAAAAACACTTTAACAACTACAAACTACTACAACAACAACTAGAAACAACCACAACAGCAACTACTACTACAACAACAACAACAACTACCACAACCACAACAACTATTACTACAACAACTACCACAACCACTTTAACAACTACAAACTACTACAACAAAAACGACAACAACTACAACAACTATTACTACAACAACCCCAACAACAACCACAAAAACTACAACAACCACTTTAAAAACTACTACAACAACAACAACTACAACAACAACCACAACTACAACAACTACTGCTACAACAACCACTTTAAAAACTACAAACTACTACAACAACAACAAAAACAACCACTTTAAAAACTACAAACTACTACAACAACAACAACTACAACAACAACCACAACAACTACTGCTACAACAACCACTTTAAAAAGTACAAACTACTACAACAACTACAAACTACTACAAACAACCACAACAACAACTACTAGTACAACAACCAATTTAACAACTACAAACTACTACAACAACAACTACAAACAACCACAACAACTATTACTACAACAACCACTTTAACAACTACAAACTACTACAACAACAACTACAAACAACCACAACAACAACTACTACAACAACAACAACTACCACAACCACAACAACTATTACTACAACAACAACAACTACCACAACCACAACAACTATTACTACAACAACAACTACCACAACCACTTTAACAACTACAAACTACTACAACAAAAACGACAACAACTACAACAACTATTAATACAACAACCCCAACAACAACCACAACAACTACAACAACCACTTTAAAAACTACAAACTACTACAACTACAACAACTACAACAACTACAACAACAACCACAACTACTGCTACAACAACCACTTTAAAAAGTACAAACTACTACAACAACAACTACAACAACCACAACAACTAAAACAACCACTTTAAAAACTACAAACTACTACAACAACAACCACAACAACTACTGCTACAACAACCACTTTAAAAAGTACAAACTACTACAACAACAACAACTACAAACAACCACAACTATTACTACAACAACCACTTTAACAACTACAAATACTACAACAACAACAACAACTATTACAACAACAACCACTTTAACAACTACAAACTACTACAAACAACCACAACAACTACTAGTACAACAACCACTTTAACAACTACAAACTACTACAACAACAACTACAAACAACCACAACAACTATTACTACAACAACCACTTTAACAACTACAAACTACTACAACAACAACAACAACAAACAACCACAACAACAACTACTACAACAACAACAACTACCACAACCACAACAACTATTACTACAACAACAACAACAACTACCACAACCACTTTAACAACTACAAACTACTACAACAAAAACAACAACTACAGCTACAACAACCACTTTAAAAAGTACAAACTACCACAACAACAACTACAACAACTACTGCTACAACAACCACTTTAAAAAGTACAAACTACTAAAACAACAACAACTACAAACAACCACAACTATTACTACAACAACCACTTTAACAACTACAAATACTACAACAACAACAACTATTACAACAACAACCACTTTAACAACTACAAACTACTACAACAACAACAACTACAAACAACCACAACAACCACTTTAACAACTACAAACTACTACTACAACAACAACAACAACTACCACAACAACTATTACTACAACAACAACTACCACAACTACAACAACAACTACAACACCTACTACTACTACAACCACTTTAACAACTACAAACTACTACAACAAAAACTACAACAACTATCACTACAACAACAACAACAACAACTACAACAACCACTTTAAAAACTACTACAACAACCACTTTAAAAACTACAAACTACTACAACAACTAATGCTACAACAACCACTTTAAAAACTACAAACTACTACAACAACAACAACAACAACAACCACAACTACAACAAACATGACAACTACAACAACTACCACAACACCTACAACTGCGATTACAACAACTACAACAACTGCTACAACTTCAACTACTACGACAACAACTATAACAAAAACTTCTTCTACTACAACAACAACTTCAACAACAACAACAACTTCTTCTACCACCACAACAACAACCACTACCACAACAACTACAACAACTACCACAACAACTTCTTCTACCACCACAACAACAACTACAACAACTACAACAACAACCACTGCTACAACAACCACTTTAAAAAGTACAAACTACTACAACAACAACTACAACAACCACAACAACTAAAACAACCACTTTAAAAACTACAAACTACTACAACAACAACCACAACAACTACTGCTACAACAACCACTTTAAAAAGTACAAACTACTACAACAACAACAACTACAAACAACCACAACTATTACTACAACAACCACTTTAACAACTACAAATACTACAACAACAACAACAACTATTACAACAACAACCACTTTAACAACTACAAACTACTACAACAACAACTACAAACAACAACTTTAACAACTACAAACTACTACAAACAACCACAACAACTACTAGTACAACAACCACTTTAACAACTACAAACTACTACAACAACAACTACAAACAACCACAACAACTATTACTACAACAACCACTTTAACAACTACAAATACTACAACAACAACAACAACTATTACAACAACAACCACTTTAACAACTACAAACTACTACAACAACAACTACAAACAACAACTTTAACAACTACAAACTACTACAAACAACCACAACAACTACTAGTACAACAACCACTTTAACAACTACAAACTACTACAACAACAACTACAAACAACCACAACAACTATTACTACAACAACAACAACAACTACCACAACCACTTTAACAACTACAAACTACTACAACAACAACAACAACAAACAACCACAACAACAACTACTACAACAACAACAACTACCACAACCACAACAACTATTACTACAACAACAACAACAACTACCACAACCACTTTAACAACTACAAACTACTACAACAAAAACAACAACTACAGCTACAACAACCACTTTAAAAAGTACAAACTACTAAAACAACAACAACTACAAACAACCACAACTATTACTACAACAACCACTTTAACAACTACAAATACTACAACAACAACAACTATTACAACAACAACCACTTTAACAACTACAAACTACTACAACAACAACAACTACAAACAACCACAACAACCACTTTAACAACTACAAACTACTACTACAACAACAACAACAACTACCACAACAACTATTACTACAACAACAACTACCACAACTACAACAACTACAACACCTACTACTACTACAACCACTTTAACAACTACAAACTACTACAACAAAAACTACAACAACTATCACTACAACAACAACAACAACCACAACAACTACAACAACTACAACAACCACTTTAAAAACTACTACAACAACCACTTTAAAAACTACAAACTACTACAACAACTAATGCTACAACAACCACTTTAAAAACTACAAACTACTACAACAACAACAACAACAACAACCACAACTACAACAAACATGACAACTACAACAACTACCACAACACCTACAACTGCGATTACAACAACTACAACAACTGCCACAACATCTACAACAACTACTACAACTTCAACTACTACGACAACAACTATAACAAAAACTTCTTCTACTACAACAACAACTTCAACAACAACAACAACTTCTTCTACCACCACAACAACAACCACTACCACAACAACTACAACAACTACCACAACAACTTCTTCTACCACCACAACAACAACAACAAACACAGCAACAACAACAACAGAATGACTAATATAAGTATTAATCAGTATTTATTAATGACTAATAGAAGTATTGATCAGTATTTATTAATGACTAATAGAAGTATTGGTCAGTATTTATTAATGATTAACAAAAGTATTGATCAGTATTTATTAATTACTAGCAAAAGTATTGATCAGTATTTATTAATGACTAACAAAGGTATTGATCAGTATTTATTAATGACTAACAAAAGTATTGATCAGTATTTATTAATGACTAACAGAAGTATTGATCAGTATTTATTAATGACTAACAGAAGTATTGATTAGTATTCATTGATGATGTCTGATCGGTGAGATAAAGCTGACCTCTGAACAGTCCAGGATAGGGTCAGGGGGAAGTGGTCCAGGTGCAGCACTTGGCTCAGGTACTGCCTGCTGGGTGGACTGATGGTCCACAGAGAGTTACTGCTGCCCTGCAGCTCTGCCACTGTCACGTCCTCAGGACCATATGCTTCCAGGAACTGCAAGGCACTCTGGGAAAGCCAGCCTAATGATAAAATGCTATACAACTACAAGCTGTACTACAATGAGTATGTGTAGTGTTACTGCTTACAGGTGTGTAGCTGTAGGAGGCGGTGAAGGAGCTGAAGTCTTCCTCAGTCAGATCCCGGAGCTGATTCTGTTGAGCGCTCATCGTGAAGATAGGCTGTCGACAACAACAGCTGCTCAGCTCTAGTACTACTAGCATTACTGCGAACACTGCTACAGTAATCTACAGCTACAGCTGGTCTGAACAGGTGAGTCAGAAAAGGTGAGTCTGAACAGGTGAGTCAGTACAGGTGACTCTGAACAGGTGAGTCTGAACAGGTGAGTCAGTACAGGTGAGTCAGAACAGGTGAGTCTGAACAGATGAGTCAGAACAGGTGAATCAGAACAGGTGAGTCTGAACAGGTGAGTCAGTACAGGGGAGTCTGAACAGGTGAGTCTAAACAGGTGAGTGAACAGGTGAGTCTGAACAGGTGAGTCAGAACAGGTGAGTCAGAACAGGTGAGTCAGAACAGGTGAGTCTGAACAGGTGAGTCAGAACAGGTGAGTCTGAACAGGTGAGTCTGAACAGGTGAGTCAGTACAGGGGAGTCTGAACAGGTGAGTCTAAACAGGTGAGTCTGAACAGGTGAGTCTGAACAGGTGAGTCTGAACAGGTGAGTCAGTACAGGTGAGTCAGAACAGGTAAGTTTACCTGGAAGCCTCCCAGTGTGATGGTCAGAGAGACATCGAGCGGTCGGTTGACGACTCCAGCGACAGATTTGACGAGCGACATGAAGAGCAGCGGGAACCAGACGATACAGATGAGCAGCAGAACGATGAGCCCGCCCATCCCGTACTTCACCACCCGCTTCTTCTTCTGCCCGCGGGGCTGAGGGTACCTCTGCGTACACACACAATACACACTACATTACACGCACGCACACGCGCGCACGCACACAGACACACACGCGCACACGCACGCACGCACACACGCGCACACGCACTTTCTCGGACTCCCTCCAGCACTTTAAGACGAAGCAATGGGCGTAGACGTCCTCCACACAGATCCAGGAGGACAGAGACAGGGTGGTGTCCGTCCACACCCAATCCATCACCGCCCTCAACTCCGTCAGGAAGGGAACCAGACGGAACCTTCAGACAGAATCACAGACAGGTAAAGACAGACAGGTGGTAAGACAGTTGATGTGTTATGAAAGAGCCTTTATGAGTTCATGGTTAAAGGTCAAGTTAAAGAAGTGTGGCAGAGCCTTCATCAGGGTGCAAAGGTCATGGCAGGATGGGTTTATACGGTGCCTTAGATCAACCAAATAATATCTCAGCATTAGTGAACAACTTCCGTCCAGAATATGTAAAAAGTGTTAAGAGGAATATGTACCCCACCAAAGAAAGGAAGCAGTTTGAACTCATCTGTACCTGTACCTTTAAACCACAGATCTAAAGATACACTCTGAGACTCTTCTACGAGCTGAGAATCATCCCGACTTGACAGCTGGTGTCACATGAATCTCAAACGTGATGCTGCTGCTGGGGTCAAAGTTGAAGTAGGATAGCCGAGCTTCGATTATGAACCTCTTATCATTTATCTTATAACCCAGCCTTTCTGTTTCTTATTGACTCATTAGATCTGTCCATGTGCTTCTTTATTCATTTTAGTTAAAGTTATCATTGTTTTCATTTTATTCAAATAAAGAGGCAGGGTATTGATCCTTCATTTCATAACTGATCAACTTTGAATGTCTACAACAGGCGTAATGCTGTCGGCCCCGCCCACTTTGGTATAGCCAATTGGAGCTCAGAAGAGCAGATTCAGTGACTTCTTTTAAACCACTTCACAGACTTTTCTTTCCTTTAATCATTGAATGACTTGTAATCTCTTCATCCTTTCTTCATGTTTTACTCATCTTTCTTTATTCTGTTGCCGTCCTGACTTCCTGTCTTTGCTCTGTCACTCAAAGCACTTCTGTGTTTAATGCTAAGCTAGGCTAACAATCCTGAGTTGGCGGAGTCTCACCCTTGGAACAGGAAGAGGTTCAGGTAGTTGTAGCTCTTCGTCAGGAAGTTTCCCAGAACTCGTGTGGGGTAACCCGATCGAATCTGATAGGCCGACAGACCGAAGTACACACACTTCACAAAGTACCAGAGCTGAGCCACCAGGTTCTGACTGAAACGCCTGGAGAGAGAGACAGGCAGAGAGACAGACAGGTTAGAGAGAGAGAGAGACAGACACGTTAGAGAGACTGACAGGTTAGAGAGAGCGAGACAGGCAGAGAGACAGACAGGTAAGACAGAGGACAGACAGGCAGGTTAGAGAGAGAGAGACAGGCAGAGAGACAGACAGGTTAGAGAGAGAGAGAGACAGACACGTTAGAGAGACTGACAGGTTAGAGAGAGCGAGACAGGCAGAGAGACAGACAGGTAAGACAGAGGACAGACAGGCAGGTTAGAGAGAGAGAGAGAGAGAGAGAGAGAGAGAGAGACAGTTAAGACAGAGGAAAGACAGGTTAGAAAGAGAGAGACAGGCAGAGAGACAGACAGGTTAGAGAGAGGGAGTCAGGTATAGGTGAGACAGACAGCTATAGGTGAGACAGACAGGTAAAGGTGAGGCACACAGGTAAAAGTGAGACAGACAGGTAAAGGTGAGACAGACAGGTAAAGGTTAGAATAAAAGGTAACATTGAGACAGACGGGTAGGAGAGAGACAGACAGGTAAAGGTCAGACAGACAGGTAAAGGTTAGAATAAAAGGTAACAGTGAGACAGACGGGTAGGAGAGAGACAGGTAATTGTCAGACAGACAGGTAAAGGTTAGAATAAAAGGTAACAGTGAGACAGACGGGTAGGAGAGAGACAGACAGGTAAAGGTTAGAATAAAAGGTAACAGTGAGACAGATGGGTAAGAGAGAGACAGACAGGTAAAGGTCAGACAGACAGGTAAAGGTTAGAATAAAAGGTAACAGTGAGACAGACGGGTAGGAGAGACAGACAGGTAAAGGTTAGAATAAAAGGTAACAGTGAGACAGATGGGTAAGAGAGAGACAGACAGGTAAAGGTCAGACAGACAGGTAAAGGTTAGAATAAAAGGTAACAGTGAGACAGACGGGTAGGAGAGAGACAGACAGGTAAAGGTGAGTTACCTCTCAGTGACCGTTGGCAGGATGAAAAACATCCAGAAGTGAATCCCAAAAACCAAAATCACCTGAAAGACCAACTTCCCCAAAACTGTCTTCCTCAAATACAGAGCCCTGTCTATCACCATGGTACCTGTAGACAGACAGGTGGACAGTGAGACAGGCAGACAGACAGGCAGGTGGACAGTGAGACAGGCAAACAGGCAGACAGGCAGACAGGCAGACAGACAGACAGATAGATAGGTAAACTCACCAAACTGGATCAGAACCATCACCAGGAAAGCTTCAGGGACCTGGTCCTCTGAGAGGGAGGAAGTGATGTCAGCAGCTGCAGAGTGTTTCTGGGAAATGGAGTTGAACAGAGTGAGTAGAGGGGAGTTCAACAGAATGTGATGAACAGACTGTGAACGATGTTTTACCCCGAAAGCCCAGAAGCCAAAGACGATGATGATGAAGTCGACGGTGTCAGCCAGGAACATGAGGACGTAGACATCAGTTACAGCGCTGTATTCTGGTTGGACGAGAGCTCTAAAGAACTGAAGAACAGGACGATAGAGAGACAAACACCTGACAGAGAGTGAGAGAGAGAGCATTATCCATAAAAAGCTGTTTGACACTGGACGATGGTTAGCTCAGGTGTTACCTTACCTGCTAACACAGGTGTTTTTGGATCTTATAAAAACTTCTTGGACTTTCTCCAGCAGCAGATGGACCCTGCTGAGCTGCTGGGCTCTGGAGCTAACACTGCCTACAAAGACACAAAGAAGAAAAACAGAAGCTCATTCATCAGTCTGGTCTGTCCTCTGACTTCTGTCTGCTGCTGCACCACTCACCTGGACTCACCTGGACTCACCTGGACTCACCTGGACCCACCTGGACTCAGCTTTATTTGTACAGCACCTTTCATACATAAACCCAAAGTGCTTCACAAAAGAGCAGGATGAAAACACAAAGAATGTCAAATCCTTAGAATTGACATTCTTTGTGTTTTCATGAAATAAAACAAAATAAAAAGAAGAGATAAAAGAAATGTAAAAACAATGACAAAGGAAAAAGTCAAAGCAGTAAAATCCCTCCTAATTAAAAGCCAGATGAAAGGCAGGTCTTTAGTTTAAAAACACCCAGAGCTCGTGGTGGTCCCATGAGGGACCTTTAAAAGAGAAGGACCTGGGTCCCGTGACGATGGCTGGCTAGAGGACGTGTTTTCACCGAGCTCCCGCTCCCACTCTATTTTAATTATATTTGAGACGGTCTAATGTAACCAGTTTAGCTCATTACATCAACACAGTGTTGTAACAACTTGTAACGGGAAGAAAGGTACCCTCTTAAGTGACGAGATGTCAAAACAGACGAAAATTCAACCACGCAAGTCAACAGCTGCTACAACTGCTAGCCAAACGAGCATGAAGGTAGCAAAACCCTGCCAACAATGGACGCCACAGCTTTAATTCACGAGGTAACTCAGAACTTTAGCGATGTTATGGAAAAAAAACGTTCTAAGTTCTCTGAGAAAAATTTCCACGACCCTGGAAAGCCAGTCCAAACGCATTACCGCGGCTGAACAGAGAGTATCGGATGTGGAGGACACGGTGGCCGGTCTGGAGGCAAGACTCGCCGATGCAGAGAAGAAAGTGAAGGTGATGGCTGATGGCATACATGACATGGAAAACCGGAGCAGGCGGGATAATATCCGCATACTCAATTTGTAAGAGGGCACGCATCTTGGCTGCCCACTGTTGGGCCATGCAGGTTTAGGACAGTCAAACAATGGACTTGGGCCTGCACCTCTGTAAAAGTGTTTCAACAATTGTTGATCGAAGCAGAAACTGTAATTTTTATCTTTGTTGGACCTACGTCCTGAGTTTTAACTGTTTAAAACTCTTGTTGTTGTTTCGGACCGCTGCGTCCTATATGTGTTTAGCGTAACAGCGTTATAACCGGGTATTACTCTTCTGATCAGAAAGGCCAGTGTAAGCCGTATTAACCTGAATTCGGCTATTGGTTTGTTTCTGTGAATGAAGGGAATTACTCCGAGTTGTGGCGCGGGAGTCGGACTGTGATCCGGCCTCTTCAGGCACGCATTTCTCTTTTATTCTCTTTTATTTCCCCTTCTACGAACACACACACACACACACACACACACACACACACACACAACACACACACACACACACACACACACACACACACCACACACACACACACACACACACACACACACACACACACACACAACACACACACACACACACACACACACACACACACCCCTTCCACAAGTCTTTGCTTGATAATGTTTGTTGCTTAGGTTAGTTTATAATAGTTATTTGTTTGATTAAGTTCATTGATTTTGGATTGATGTTCTTTGTTTAAATAAATTCTGTTATAATTTAAGAGAGCAGTTGTTTGTGGTTACTGGTGTATTTACATTGTGATATAAGCTGGGTGCGAAGGCTTTGTGTACGGATTTCACGCCTTCATTAAATATAGTTATTCATTATTAATAATATTAGTAATTAAAGAACTAATTTGAGACTGATTTGAGTGATATTTTGGTTATATTTACCTGATTACAGGTTGGTGCCCCAAAACGAGATTAAACATAGTTTAATGATATTTTATTTATATTATTAATAATTAAGTATAATTATTAAAGAATATAACCAAAGTTGACTTGATACAACCCCAACACCACCATTCTCAATCTAGAAGCGAGCCCCGGTACCAAGACCTGTATTAAAATTGGCCGGACACACCGGAGCTCGGGGCTGCGGGGCGCACGCCCTCGCCCGGTGATCATCCGTCTGCACAACTCCAGGGATAAACCGAGGATAATGGCAGCAGTGAGCGCAACGTCTAACCTGGAATACGAAGGACAGCGGATCTTTATACACCAGGATTTATCTTCTGTGGTTCGAGCCCTAATCCACAAGGGCATGCGGTTTAACATGCGCTTCCCGGCTACACTGACAGTGAACTAGAATGGCGCAGAGCAAGTTTGAAACACTGAGAGATGTAGATAACTTTATCAACACACTGGAATAAATCTGGTCAGTAGTCACTTGTTAACCATAGCTCTCTTCTAGCTTGATCTGGGTTAGGGTTACCCTAACATGGACATGATTAATTTCCTTTCTTTTATTACAGCAGTAACTTCATTCTGAAACAGGTCCTAAATATAAGACTGCAATAATCTAAATGCTGACATGGCTAAACTATATTTTGTTTTTCCCAAGTGTGTCTCTTGGTGTGAAGCAGTCTCTCTTTTGTCTGGCTAAAATATTGATAACAATCAAGGGGCCCTCTTCTTTCTCTTGTTCTTTCTCAAATATTATGGCCATAAAAGCTTTATGGTAATTAAATGCCAAATATAAGAGGCATGTAATAACTTTATGTTGTGGGGACGGGAGTGGATATGGAGGGATTTTTATTTTGTTTTGCTTTCTCCCCTCCAGAGGTGATGACTCCTTCTGGCAGAATGTGCTCCTAGAGTAGTACTACCCATCTGGTAGCTTTTTTTTTTTTTTTTTTAAAGATTTATTTTGGGCTTTTTCGTGCCTTTAATGCAGAGAGAGGACAGTGGATAGAGTCTGAAACCAGAGAGAGAGAGGACAGTGGATAGAGTCTGAAACCAGGGAGAGAGAAGACAGTGGATAGAGTCTGAAACCAGAGAGAGAGAGAGAGGACAGTGGATAGAGTCTGAAACCAGGGAGAGAGAGGACAGTGGATAGAGTCAGAAACCAGAGAGAGAGAGGACAGTGGATAGAGTCTGAAATCAGGGAGAGAGAGAGGACAGTGGATAGAGTCAGAAACCAGAGAGAGAGAGGACAGTGGATAGAGTCTGAAACCAGAGAGAGAGAGGACAGTGGATAGAGTCTGAAACCAGAGAGAGAGAGAGGACAGTGGATAGAGTCAGAAACCAGAGAGAGAGAGGACAGTGGATAGAGTCAGAAACCAGAGAGAGAGAGAGGACAGTGGATAGAGTCTGAAACCAGGGAGAGAGAGGACAGTGGATAGAGTCTGAAACCAGGAGAGAGAGAGGACAGTGGATAGAGTCTGAAACCAGGGAGAGAGAGGACAGTGGATAGAGTCAGAAACCAGAGAGAGAGAGGACAGTGGATAGAGTCTGAAACAGAGAGAGAGAGGACAGTGGATAGAGTCTGAAACCAGAGAGAGAGAGGACAGTGGATAGAGTCAGAAACCAGAGAGAGAGAGGACAGTGGATAGAGTCTGAAACCAGAGAGAGAGAGAGGACAGTGGATAGAGTCTGAAACCAGGGAGAGAGAGGACAGTGGATAGAGTCAGAAACCAGAGAGAGAGAGGACAGTGGATAGAGTCTGAAATCAGAGAGAGAGAGGACAGTGGATAGAGTCTGAAACCAGAGAGAGAGAGGACAGTGGATAGAGTCTGAAACCAGGAGAGAGAGGACAGTGGATAGAGTCAGAAACCAGAGAGAGAGAGGACAGTGGATAGAGTCAGAAACCAGAGAGAGAGAGGACAGTGGATAGAGTCTGAAACCAGAGAGAGAGAGGACAGTGGATAGAGTCTGAAACCAGAGAGAGAGAGAGGACAGTGGATAGAGTCTGAAACCAGAGAGAGAGAGGACAGTGGATAGAGTCTGAAACCAGAGAGAGAGAGAGAGGACAGTGGATAGAGTCAGAAACCAGAGAGAGAGAGAGGACAGTGGATAGAGTCAGAAACCAGAGAGAGAGAGGACAGTGGATAGAGTCAGAAACCAGAGAGAGAGAGGACAGTGGATAGAGTCAGAAACCAGAGAGAGAGAGGACAGTGGATAGAGTCAGAAACCAGAGAGAGAGAGGACAGTGGATAGAGTCAGAAACCAGAGAGAGAGAGAGGACAGTGGATAGAGTCTGAAACCAGAGAGAGAGAGGAGGAGAGTGGATAGAGTCAGAAACCAGAGAGAGAGAGGACAGTGGATAGAGTCAGAAACCAGAGAGAGAGAGAGGACAGTGGATAGAGTCTGAAACCAGAGAGAGAGAGAGGACAGTGGATAGAGTCTGAAACCAGAGAGAGAGAGGACAGTGGATAGAGTCTGAAACCAGAGAGAGAGAGGACAGTGGATAGAGTCTGAAACCAGGGAGAGAGAGGACAGTGGATAGAGTCTGAAACCAGAGAGAGAGAGAGGACAGTGGATAGAGTCTGAAACCAGAGAGAGAGAGAGAGGACAGTGGATAGAGTCAGAAACCAGAGAGAGAGAGGACAGTGGATAGAGTCAGAAACCAGAGAGAGAGAGAGGACAGTGGATAGAGTCAGAAACCAGAGAGAGAGAGAGGACAGTGGATAGAGTCTGAAACCAGAGAGAGAGAGAGGACAGTGGATGGAGTCTGAAACCAGAGAGAGAGAGGACAGTGGATAGAGTCAGAAACCAGAGAGAGAGAGAGAACAGTGGATAGAGTCTGAAACCAGGGAGAGAGAGAGGACAGTGGATAGAGTCAGAAACCAGAGAGAGAGAGGACAGTGGATAGAGTCTGAAACCAGAGAGAGAGAGGACAGTGGATAGAGTCTGAAACCAGAGAGAGAGAGAGAGGACAGTGGATAGAGTCAGAAACCAGAGAGAGAGAGGACAGTGGATAGAGTCTGAAACCAGAGAGAGAGAGAGGACAGTGGATAGAGTCTGAAACCAGAGAGAGAGAGAGGGGAATGACATGTGGAAAGAGGCCACGGGTGGAAGCGAACCCGGGCCTACCGCTCGAGACGAGAGTCTCAACACATGGGACGCGCCCTAAC